TTCCAGGATATATTGTGCAAGGCTCCCCCAACATATTTAACAAGTTATTTTTTTTAAAAAAGATTTGTTTGTTTATTAACAAGAGACACAGAGAGAGAGAGAGGCAAGATCCCCATGGGGAGCCCGATGCAGGACTCTATCCTAGGGCCCCAGGATCACGCCCTAAACCAAAGGCAGACCTGAGCCACCCCGGTGTCCCTCCCCAAATGTATTTAACCACAGAACTTTTCTCTCAAGATATGCCTGTTAAAAATTCCCTGGGAGTGTTCGGCACATCCAGTTTGGTAGAAAACTGCACTAAAATATGAGCATATTTCACCAAGATTATTGCAGATTTGTGAATTAAGATTTTTATGAATTGTATCTTGTTCTAAAGGAGATTTTATAGTTATACATCCCAAATATATGTCTATATGTACATGTTTCCAAATTAGATTTCAATAAAGCAGTGAAGTTCTAATTCTTACTTTGTAGATTAAAAATGGCCCTGGCTAGGCTAGATTATTAATCTTTCCCAATAGTACTTCTCTTACACATAATGGGAATTGTGTTCTAAAAGGACATGATCCTCCACCTGGCCAAGACTGAGTCATCAAATACATACTGAACTGGGCATTCTCAGTCTGTCATCCATAAATCGAGAGAGGCCTTTTAAAAACAGTTTGTGGGCAGCCCCAGTGGCACAGCGGTTTGGCGCCGCCTGCAGCCTCGGTTGTGATCCTGGAGACCCAGGATCGAGTCCCGCGTCGGGCTCCCTGCATGGAGCCTGCTTCTCCCTCTCCCTCTGCCTGTGTCTCTGCCTCTCTCTCTCTCTCTCTCTCTCTCTCTCTCTCTCTCTCTCTGTCTATGAATAAATAAATAAAATCTTTAAAAAAAAACAGTTTGTATTTTTAGCCAGCACCATTTTTTGAGATGGTAAATTCTATAAGGTCAGTATCCTCTAGTGAAGAAATTATTTTCTTTTGTCCCAAACTTACCTCTCCCCAGTATTAGGGATTGACTCCTTAATTTGATGTTCAGGATTGGTGAACACGACCAAGTTTTCTCTGATCGATTTTACAGACTTCAACCTTCTCCCCCTCCTCTCGTGTTTTGCCTTTCTAAACTAACAAGTCCCCATTCTTCAGGCTGTCAGAGATTGACGGCAAAAACTATGAAGCATCTGAGATTTTACCCTCCTTGCAAGCTAACAGATTAGTCCACCACTATTTCATGGATGCTGGCAGAAAACACAAGACTCCTAGGTTAGAGACCAGGACAGTTTATTACTCAGCAGTAGCAGCAGCTAGAGTACCAGCATGCACACCAGCTCCCATGGGGAAGTAAGAGGGCTGAGAGGACTGAGTGACACCTGCACACAATGAGTTATGTTACACAAATCAAACTCCAGGCTTAGGGAATGCGGTGTTTCTGACGGGCAGCATGTCCATCTGACCTTTGCCCCAGTGTGAGACACTATATTAAAGAATAAACAGATCTGCTCTTGCCCCAGAGGGGGACACTATCTCTTATCTCCCAAAGGCTGCTCACTTGAAAATCTAGTCCAGGACAAAAGCTACCAGCGCCTCTAACTCACAAGATGTAGAATTATAACAGCTGTCTCCTCCATCCCTTACATTATGATTCTTTCCTCTGCTGTCATCATACACATACCAAGATCTGTAGCCAGCCCTGCAGTATTTAGATGAATACAAGTTAATGCTTTTATGTCTTGTCACAGAACATGAAACTCCAGAGGGTTAGGGACATTTGCTTTGTTTACTTGGATATCCCAAGGGCATAGAACTGTATCTCACACACAGTCAGCATTCCATAAATATCTGTTGAATGTGTCCATGGATTTCCTAGATCTTTTTTACTGGGATCCATACAAGGATGAATTGGCTATTTTTCTTCAGTAAAGTTTGTTTTTTATTTTATGTTCCCAGAAAGCACTTAATTTTAAATTTAGAAATGTTACATCAGGGCACTTGGGTGGCTCAGTACATTAAGCATCTGCCTTCAGCTCAAGTCATGATCCCAGGGTGCTGAGATCGAGCCCCATGTCGAGCTTCCTGCTCAGCAGGGAGTTTGCTTCTCCCTCTCCCTCTGTGCACTCTCGATCTCTCTTCTCTCTCTCTCTCTCTCTCTCTCTCTCTCTCTCTCTCCCTTTCTCAAATAAATAAATAAAATATTTTTTAAAAAAAGAAACGTTACATCATTTTACTGATCAAAGAGCTGTAACATGTTATATAGATTCTGGTTCTAGCATTTTTTCCTCTGGGTAAGTCTGATGTTTAGAATTGCATATATTCAACCCATTTACATCATAAAGAAATGAAACTTACCAAAACCAGGGATTCTTATGGTTTTTCTTTGAAAAACCTAGAAGGTAGTTAAGTTTATTCTGGGCACTATGGGAGATAGCAAAAAGTCAAAGACCAGTTCTCACTTATGCATACCAAGGTCTGTGGCCAGGACCTCAAAGAGGTTATAACCTACATGAGCAAATAAGATGTGTGAGTGTGTAATACTTAGCAAGCAATACCAGACTCTGTGCATACGTAAGTGCTAAGCTAAGTGGTACAGATTTAAATATTAAATATTACAAGAGCTCAGAAAAGTTCAGTACAACTCTGAACTGGACTAGAAAAAAATAGAGGCTTCATGAAGTTAGTCTTGAACTGGATTTTGGAGATAATCAGTTGGATCCTTAACAAGAACCGCATTAGACAAGCCACAGAAGTAACAGTGTGTTCTGGGAAAAGCACAATCTGGCTGGAATGGAAGGTAAAAGTTTGGGAAATAGTGTGTTTTATCCACAATCACTGTTGGACTATAAGAACTGCACACTCAATCTTTATGACTTCTTTTCCAGTCTGTTTAACAGTGCACAGCAATGAAGCCACACCTTTGGGCAAATATAGCTGGGAAGAGAGAGGCCAATAGATAGAGCCCTTCTAAGGAGGATCCATGAAGTAAATAAACTCTAAAGGAAAGACTTGGAAGGTCATCCAATGTACTCATAAATTCCAGCTATTACCAGAGATGAAAGGGAAGTGAGAGGCATGAAGAACAATAGGAAGGAGTGTTCCCCAGGTCCCTCCAACTGCCTGTTTACAGTAGGGGAGGAGCAGCAGGGCTGCCCAGATGGCAGAGCCGAAGTTAGAATGAAGCTTCCTTGCCCTAAGACCTCTTTAGGAAATCCTGTTTGTGACAGTGGCTTTACTGCAAAGTAATCAGAAGCCCTCCCTGTGTCGTAGAAGTACACTTCTGGATTGACCAGCAGTCTCTAATGAGTTTGAAATCTTACTAATATGTGGGCTCAGCAAGTTAGAAACTGGGTGTCAGGTGAGGCTTGGGTCAGGCCTTATTTTGCAAGCATTTACTTATCTTTCTTGTGCCATTGAAATGCTGGTAACACAATAGCTTAAAAACAAGATAAGCCTCATCTTTCTTCCTGTATGGGTATGTTAGGGAATGATCGTTTTGATGGCCTTTAAAAAGCAGGAAAGGGCAAAGCCCTGTGATGCCATTTCTTTGGCATTGCATTACTTCATTAAGAAAATTCTCTTAAAAGCCTGGGAAATACAGCTTCAGAGTGAAGAGAGCTAAGTTGAAAACACCCTGGAATCCAAACCAAATTAACCATAAGTTTCATCTCCACTTTGACATCCACACTTGGGGTCTGTGCTCTTCTCCTTTGCTCCTGCCACTCAAGTGGTTTTGGATATGGGGGCAGACAATATGCTTTCTCTGCCAAATCTCATAAAATAGGATTTGTCTTCCCTCGCAGACAGGTGGCCAAGCCGTGACAGAGAGGGCTCTGCCTGGCTGCTGGCCACTCTGGAGACGCAGCCTTGCACCGGCGCAGCACCAGGCCACGTATCTGACCCTGTGGCCTCACAATCTGGAGGCCCATGTTGGCAGCCCCGGGTGCTAACAGCTTTGGTCAGTTGGTGTGGAGTTCTACTGGCAGACAAAGAGAGCAGGACAGCATGCTGCTCCATGTCACTCTGTGTGACGGAAGAGACTTCTAAGGCCCTGGATGTGTGTGGAACCATAAAATGGCTGCTCCAATCAATCATTAAAATACAGGCTTTTCCTCCGTCTTTTTTTTGGGGGGTGGGGAGAAGGAGGAACCGAGACCTTGGGAAAGGAAATTTGGCCTTCCCAGATGGTACACATTACTTGATGGGTAATTCTGCACTTAATTCTATGCATCAGGAGTGGATTTCACAAGCCTTTTTCTTGTGAGACTAGATTAGTCCTTAGGGTTAATTTTTCGGTATAGAGCAAGTACTATAATGGAGGAAAAAAAAATAGACTTCTGGAAGCCAGGGAGTAGAAGGTCTCAAGATACCAGATTGCTCTGTGAAGGGAGCAAACGACCATTTTTATTACAGGCTTTGAATACAAGAAAATAATTGTGATTTGAGTTCTCTAAACATCAGAAATATTGCCCTAGCCATATATGGCCACGGTCCTAGTCCTCCATATCCTCAGGGAGCTTCCCTTCTAGAGAAAATGCAGTCAGATTCTAGTAAAGAAGGACCTAGGTCCTTCTGTTGCCTTCAGGCTGTTGCCTTCATCAGACTCTCCAGAATCTCTACTTAAGAGATAATAAGACGACTGCTTTCAGAAATACAGAGAAGCTGGGTCAGCCCTCACCAGTCCTGACTGAGAAAGCCTCTTGATCCCGAGTGCCACATCTGACCACTGCATAGCATTGATGGGGGAAAAAAACTGGACTCCATTCACTGCCTTTTTCTTCTCCTGTCCCCCTCAGGGCCCACGTGAATAGCACTTTTGGCCTTGTTTTCTTAGGACCCTCTGGGCCCATTTCTTTTCTTTCATCATCTTTCCTAGAACTGATATGACTGTTCCGCAGGGAAGAAACAAGTGGTACACTTGGATGAACTCTGCAAAACACAAAGAGCTTCTCTCTTATCCCTGCTCCTGAAGTGATTTTCTATATTAAAAAAAAAAAAAAAAAAAAAAGGACAGTCCTAGACTGAACAGTAAAAAAAAAGGGAGTCCTCTACTGAATAGTAAAACCTCATTTATATCTTGTCTGGGATGTCTTGAACTGTCTGGAGAAAGCACCAGTGATAAAGCATATGGATTGTAAAGTGGTGGTTGACCTGCTTAACAGAACCCAAGGAAAGCATTCTTGAAAAGTACTTGAGGATTCCAGCTACCACCAAAGATGAAAGGGACGTGAATAGACCTCAGCAGCCCTGCTTCTTCTGTGTCATCCTCGAATTTAATGGCACCTCCCTATGTGGCTATTCCTCACTGCTCTGTTGTTGGTCACCAGAGCATCTTGTTTTCTTCACAGCACTCACTGCTTGTATAATGATTATTTTTCCTTTCTCCCTTCCTAAACTGCAAGCCCCACAAGGTCAGGGACCACGTAGTCCCTGCGCTCTGCAGATGGAGGAGTACGTCACAGATCCACAAATGTGCAGAAGGAACCTACTGAAGTGCTAGGTGGCAGGTTTGCCCCCAGATTCACAGGTCCTCAGGATCCCCCTCTCTTCTCAACTGAAGACAATTACTTCATTTCAACATCAAGCTCACCAGAGTGGTTTTCAATCATTCATTTTTCTTTTAGGGGAAAAAAAAAAAAACATGGAACTTTTGTTCAGGCAGAGACTCCAGTCCATTAACAGTTCCATGGTCCTCTGTGACGGGCATGACACGGAGAAACCGTCACAAGGACCGGCTTTGGAGCATCCGGGTTCTGCGTCCACCACTTCTTAGCTGGGTGATGGTGACTCACTAGTAACCATCATCTCTCAACCTTCATTTCCTCAGCTGTAAAATGAGCATATTAACATCAACTTCCCACCTAGGGTTGATCTGAGTTAAATGAAAGCGTGCCTGTCAAGCACTGAGCTTTGGGCTCTGCCTTGCATGTGCGGAGTAAAACTTAGTCACTGTTCTTAGTGTTCGTGGTTCAGGTACCTGGGTGTATCATTTTTCTGGAGCAGGATGAGGGGGGCTTCTTGTCAGAAGTAACATCGAACGTTGGAAGAACTCAGTCAGAAAGCCTCGGACTTGGTGCCCCGGGATTCTAGGCAGAACCTCACGCCTAGGGCACAAAGCATGAACTTAGGTCACAGCTGACTGGGCCATGTGGCCAAATGACTCAATCCTGAAATAATGACTAATCATTACAGGGCTCCCAGTGTCCCCTCCACCCCACCACAGTCACCACAAAGGCTAAAACTGATCGTGGCGTCTGGCAAGAGGCTGAGCATGCATACCATACAATGAGTTTCAGTAAACCCATCTCATAGGAGGAGAGAGCCCAGGCAGGGCGCTCTTCAGGGAAGGGGCTGCTCGCTCCTTGAAGGGGAGGAATAGGGGCTCCAGGTTTAGTTTCCTTGATGCCTTACAGAATCCAGAGTGCGGTCCCCCGGTATATATCGGCCCTCAGGGAGTCTTGTTCTGAGCCACAGGAAGCAGTGCCTCGCACCAGCTCGTAGGGAAACTCCAAACAGTCACCAGGAAGAAAGTCACAGATGAAAATGATTTTGTCTCACTGTTTCTTCTCTGCAGTCTTCTGAGGGGGGAGGGGGAGGACAAGGAGACATTTGGCTATGAGAAATTCATTGAACAGAATGTGCTTTTTTAACTGTCTCCTTTCATATCTGGGGTTGTGTGGCCGCCTCACTGTTTTCAATCAAGAAGAGAACCATAACTTCTGCATTTAATGACCTTACTGGATATGACTGCCTTTCTTACTGATTTGTAAGGCAGATGCTCCCCTCTCCCACCTCAACTGGAACTCAGGAGCCCCATTTGTTTTTGTTTTGTTTTAAGGTTTATTTTATTTATTAGAGAGAGGCACAAGCGGGGGTAGGGGCAGAGGGAAAAGGGAGAGAATCCTCAAGCAGACTCCCTGCTGAGCGTGGAGCCCGACTCAAGGCTGGGTCCTAGGATTTGAAATCATGACCTAAGCCAAAAATCAAGAGTGGGTCACTCAACCAACTGAGCCATCCAGGAGCCCCAAGAGGAGCCCCATTTGTTTAATATTTCTGACCCATGCGGGATGAACAATCTGGGCTTTTTAAATAATCTTATATTATATGTAAGTTTTATTCTTTAAATAGTGCATAGTCTTTCATTTAACAAAAAAAAATAGTTATTGTAAAACAGTTTTTAAAATATACGTAAAGAATGTAAGATAAGCCTAGAGCATCTTGTTGTACTAGAAAGAAAGAAAATGTTTTAAATAATAATAAAAATGGAGGGTGCCTGGGTGGCTCAGTTGGTTGAGTGTCTGACTCTTGCTTTCAGCTCAGGTCATAGTCTCAGGGTCATGAAATTGAGCCCCACATTGGTCTTCATGCTGAGCGTGGAGTCTGCTTGTCCCTCTCCTGCCTCCTTTGCCCCTCCCTCTGCTCTCTTGCTCACTCTGAAAAAAATAAATATAATAATAATGGAAACATACCAAAGAAGACAGAATTTGGCTTGAAGAGACCCCTGGACAAATCTGAGCCCATTTGAGCATGAAAATATGTAATTATAGTAATGGATTATAACCCATTAAAATAATGAATTCTTCTGAATGAAACAAAATTTGTGAGTCCATACTAATAAAAATAGATAAAGCTCCTTCTTAATAGTAGAGCGCTAACTAATAAATAGAAGGCATGTTAGAGTTGGAAAGTCAAAATTGCTCTCCACAAAATATTTTCTTTTTTAGAAAGGTAAGGAGAAAGAAAAAGAAAAAGAAACGCAGTAAGTGACTCAAAGATTACCATTAATGGTTTACCAAGTATCTTCTGTTTTCCTATGCATTATAACATTTCAATTTTCATATAAAAGTGAGCTCATGCTTCTTTATGACCTGTTTTTTTCTTACATGTAAAAATATATCCTGGTCTTATTTATGTGTATTTAAATATTCCCCAAATAAATAAATAAATATTCCCCAGCACATAGTAAGCATGTATTTATTGAATGAATGAAATTTGCAGGGATTTTTAGAGCAAGACTGTGGTATCTGTTCTGGCAGCTCATGTTTTGCATGTTCCCATGACTTTCTTCAGGACTAATTCCTGGAATTGGAATAGTGAGGTAAAGAATATTCAAAAACCTAATTGATGGGGCGCCTGGGTGGCTCAGTTGTTTCAGCATCTGCATTTGGCTCAGGTCATGATCTCAGGGTCCTGGAACTGAGCCCTGTGTTGAGCACCCTGCTCAGTGAGGAGTCTTCTTCACCCTCTGCCTCTCCCCACCATTCATGCTTGTGCTGTCTCTCACTTTCTCTCAAATGAAAAATCTTAAAAAAAAAAAAAAAAACAACCTACTTGATGCAGGAACCAGTCTGCCCTCCAGAAAGATTTTTCTATTTTATTCCCCCCCCCCCTGGGGCTGTATTAAGACATGCCTTTCACTACATTTTTTTTGATTTTTATTTATTTATGATAGTCACACAGAGAGAGAGAGAGAAGCAGAGACACAGGCAGAGGGAGAAGCAGGCTCCATGCACCGGGAGCCCGATGTGGGATTCGATCCTGGGTCTCCAGGATCGCGCCGTGGGCCAAAGGCAGGCGCCAAACCGCTGCGCCACCCAGGGATCCCACTACATTTTTTTTTTAAGATTTTATTTATTTGTGAGAGACAGAGAGGCACAGACACAGGCAGAGGGACAAGCAGGCTCCATGCTGGGAGCCTAACGTGGGACTTGATCCCTGGTCTCCAAGATCACACCCTGGGCTGAAGGCGGCGCTAAACCGCTGAGCCACCGGGGCTGCCCTTTTCACTACATTTTAAAGGAAGAAGATTGGGATTAATGTGTGCAAAACACCATCCAGAGTAGGACCTAACGGTTGTCGGTTACAAAATGATAATAATCAAGTCCTCTTCTCCCTGCATGCAGATAGACTCTATCAGGGCCAAAAGCTGGGGACCATTTCCCAAAGCCTTTGCTCAAACGATGGAATTTCTGTGCATGCAGAAAGCTCCAGGGTAGGACAGAATCTGACTGTAGTGGAGCCTGTCATATACCCTGCAATATACCATACCATCCTCTCTCGGTATCTGTTGGAAAGCCCAGTTACCTGCACTAGGCCTGGAGGCTGCCACGTCAAGGTGAACAATGAAGAGAAAAACGAGGTTCCTGATTGTGATAGCTATCCTATCACAGCTCCACCATCATCAACACAGATCCTCCAGGAGGGGCTCCTTCATTTGGACTTTGATACTGGCCACATAACTTACTTGAACACCAGCATCCCTTGCAGTCTCTGGGGTGGGGGGAGGGACAGTGCAAGGAGTGAGATACACAGGTACTCTGTTGGCAGCTGAGCAGTGTGCCCTGTTATGCAGGCTGGAGCCCATGGCACCAGCCGACTTCAGCCTCCAGCTGGTTGGAGCAGGAGGGAGTTATGTCCTCATACAGATCATTAAGGAGAACCAAGAAGAGGATATTCAAAGGGGTACTTTTGGATTCAAAAGAGAAATCCGGGGCACCTGGATGGCTCAGCGGTTGAGCATCTGCCTTTGGCTCAAGTCGTGATCCTGGGGTCCTGGGATCCAGTTCTGCATCGGGCTCCTCACAGGGAGCCTGCTTCTCCCTCTGCATATGTCTCTGCCTCTCTCTGTGTGTCTCTCATGAATTAATAAATAAAATCTTTAAAAAGGGGGGGGGCAGCCTCGGTAGCTCAGCAGTTTAGCACCACCTTCAGCTTGGGGTGTGATCCTGGAGACCCAGAATCAGGTCCCACGTCGAGCTCCCTGCATGGAGCCTGCTTCTCCCTCTGCCTGTGTCTCTGCCTCTCTCTCTCTCTCTCTCTCTCTCTCTCTCTCTCTCTCTCCCCTTCTCTCTTTCATGAATAAATAAAATCTTTTAAAAAAGAAATGTTGAAGAAAAAGAAAGAAAGAAAGATGAGAAATCAGTAGAACTATACCATGCTTTGGATTTGCCTGTATTTTCTCTTTGGGCTTCACTGGCTATCAGGCTCTCCAGTGATGACAGTTGAGCTGATTGAGAGCCGTTAGTCAAATCCAGTAATAGTATTAATCTGTGGTTGGAAATGACTGTTAAAGTGCCAGCCTATTCGGTTGCGGTTTTTCTTCCAGCTTCCAGTTGTGCCAGGCTTCCAGCAGGAGGAATAGAGGCTGTGGTAGAGGAAACCGTTGATAAATGAAAGAAACCAGAAACTGTCACTACCCATAACAACGAAACAACAACAACAAAAAAAAAAAATTAGAGAAAAGGTGGGGGAGACAAAGGAAATTGTATAAAGCAGCATAAGCCTGCACAGTGTGATGTGATCTCTAGGCGTGAGGCTCAAAAGCTGTGCTTGGGCACTGACTCCTAGTTTTCCAGCAAGAGCAGGAAGGCTTTTTTACCAGACTCCAGGTCTCTCTGGTGATACTGCTGAGCAAGAAAGCTTCTCTTAAGGGAAGAACATGACTGGAGCTTACTTAAATGAAGCTATTTTTATCAGCTTCCTGACATGCTCCTCAGACCATTAATACACAAAGGAAGCCAGAGGTCTGGTCACCAAATTGTGTCAAAAAAGTTTACCCTAGAATCCTCTTTACTAAATTTTCCCTGACAAACATTCAGTAAAGTTGCTACCATTGATCAGTGATCAAGAAATGCACGTTGTGAGGCACCTGGGTGGCTCAGTCAGCTAAGCATCAGCTCTTGGTTTTGGCTCTAGTCATCTCAGGGACCTGAGATCGAGCCTTGTATCATGCTCAGAGCTCAGTGAGGAGTCTGCTTGGGATTCTCTCTCTTCTCTCCCTCCACCCCTCCCCCCACACTCTTTTTCTCTCTAAAACAGATGAATCTTTAACAAAAAAAGAAATGCATGCTGTAACTGAGAAGTGCTTACCCAATCAAGGCCTCCATTTGCTGTTTTTATTTTATTTTAAGAACTTTAGCCTGGCAGCTCTCCTTGTTTTTTCACCAAAGCTCCAAAGTTTTGTTAATACTTCAAAAAGGAAAAAAAAAAAAAAAACTAAGTAAAATCTGTATTCAGTGAACCAGAAAATTAAATGGATCTATAAAGAAATCAAAGCCGTAAGTTCCGGAGTTACATTGAGGAGAGTCAGAACACAGTACACCTGGCACATTTCACTACCTCCTAATGAGCAAATAAGTATTTTATCAGCCCTTCTACTGTATTTCAGTGTTTCTGAGATGTTCATTTTTTTTCACATTTGATTGTTTCTAGAATCAGGATGTAACTTGCGATCGATTGGTAGCATCTTACATTAGAAGAGATATGGTAGTTCTGCTTAAAAAGCAGACGTTAGTAATTTTCTTCATATCAGTATTCAAGAGCTGGTTAACTTTGGTGGTCAAAAGATGTTTTGAAGCATTAGTGGGGAAATTTAATTTGTGGACATTTTTATTATAATTTAGTATGTAAATGATGTTCCCTGGGATATTCAAGGAGTAGGAAACTAAGGAAACTAAGGCTGAGTTCACGTTACCCTCTCAGGTCACAGCTAGCTGATGGCAGAGCAGCATTAGAATGTATCCCTGGCCTGGAGGGTCCACACAACGTGTGTTGTCCTGCTGCCTGTCAGAGCCCATGCCTTGCAAAAGCAAAGCAAGACCCTGCAGGCTAAATGCCACATTTGCTCTGAAGTGTCTTTCTATCGAGGCATTGGCAGAACTCCTAAACAAGTGGGGAGAGGTACCAGGAAAGTTCAGCCTGAATGAGTGGCTTGGTGAAACCTGACACAGTAGAACACTATGACGGGCTGTGGGATCAGCAGGCTGTGTTACTCAGCTGCTCCAAGCTCGGCCTAAAGACTCTTCCCTGGTATCGGGGACTTCCTTCTCTCAGGTGGCAGGTTTATCTTTTGAAATTGATCATGAGTAAAAAAGTAGTACTCATGCTAATAAAATAAGAACATCAAAGGCATACTAAAGATATATTTAGGTAAATTAACAGAGAAGTTTGGTTACCACATAAAGAAAAATGTTAATACCCTTTAGACTTCTTAGCATGCAAAATCAAAGTAATCAAAGGTGTGTATTAGTTACGTGCTAAAGCAACACAACCTGAAAGTGCCTTTTTTAACCAAATGTTTTCATTTATGTGGGTAACATAAAACCTTTCCATAATACCCTTCTCTTATAAAGTCAAATACGTGGCAGATATATGCAGTAAGCAGGTCATTGGTAGTCATGTGCCCACAACCTCCTCATTCTTATAAATTCACTTGTTTTGTAAATAAAACGAAGATATCGTGCTGAGGCCAAAGATTGACTTTAATATTTGTTTGGGAACGTACATTCAAACATACATTTGTTTAATGTGCTATGGTAGATTGCATTTAACGTGTGATAAAATAGTATCAATAAGTAATCGTGATTAGCAATATTGATCCCAGCTCCTACACTTAATCACATACATACATGACTTGTCTGGTTAAGTTACAAAACTGTCCTGAGCCCCAGCTTCCTCATCTATAAAATTAGGCTAGTAATGACTGTGTTTCAGAGTTGCTTGTAGGGATTAGCAAAATATGTCTTACCTATAGTTCTTATTCCATTTCATTAAGCACAGAGTATATGGCTGTGTTAGAATTGTGAAGTAGAAATTCGCAGAAGTGTTACCCATGATAAAGAAACAGAAGGAAGGGCAGCCCAGGTGGCTCAGCGGTTTAGCGCTGCCTTGAGCCCAGGGCCTAATCTTGAAGACCTGGGATCGATTCCCATGTATGACTCCCTGCATAGAGCCTGTGTCTCTGCCTCTCTCTCTATCTCTCGTGCATAAATAAAATCTTTAAAAAAAGAAATAAAATGTTCAAACTCACTGCTAATTGGGGAAATACACATTCTAACTATCAATGCTTTCAGAAAGAGGGAGTGTATTTCATTTACTACTATATTGAATAGGAAGAGGAAATGGTCTAATTGGCTTTACTAACCATGGATACTGGATAAGAAAACATATTCCACCCCCCACCCCATATTTATCATTTTCCTGACTGCATCATCTTCAAATTTTCTGAGCCAGTGATCTTTGTGAATAGCCCTGCAGAATATCATGAGTAAATTAAATTCAGAGATTTCGTCCAGACATATGACCAAAACAACAGCAATGAATCTTCTTTGCACGTTTAGACACAGTGAGAAAAAGAGAAGAAATCATGGAGGGGTGCAGATGGGGGTAGGTAACACAGTATTACACAAAAACGAATAACTCTGGAATGAGAGTTCATTATATTTGCTACTTGATTGATGGCCGTACTTCTACTGAGAAACTGATTTTACTTCTCAGCTGTTCTAACTGCTTCATCCACATAGTTTATTATTTTTGTAGCATGTCTGCAGTATAGAGTGGGGCAGAAAAAGCCATGATACCTGTCCTTTAACAGATGAGCTGAGGTGAAGTGGCCTGCCTGCCTGCACTCAGCAATTAGTTAATCAGTTACAGAGCCAGCATTAAGAGATGGGGCTTCTGCCTCCTGGTTTATTCTCCTTTCCATTACATGTGGCTAAGTGCTTCTATCTTATTCTAAAGAAGTCTCTACAGGGAACACAACCCTACCCTGTTCTAGAAATAGCATTGTTACTGGACAGGCCAATCTGCCAGGATGACCATTTTCAAGTGTTCTAGGGAGCTAGTAAGTTGGGTTTTTTTTCCCCCCAAGAGGAAGTAGCAGTGAATCCTATACCAAAAATAACGCCTTCACTGCTAATTCTGCTTAGTAGGTGGTTTCCCAGGGATGATCCAATGCAGTGAGTCATCATTCTGATTGCTTATTAGCACATTATCTCTCTTTTCTACTAACCCCCCAGTGCTTTTGGTTACATGTTTTTTAACCTTTAAAGCCTTTCTGAGCAGTTTACAGTCTTCATACTAGGAATATAAACCACCCCCCCCAACATGTCCCTCTTTTCTTTCTTCTTTCACTCTTCAAATCTAAAATAATCCATGACTCAAGAGAACAGTCAGGATTATGACCTCAGACAACAGAGTGGCAGTTTCTCCAGAGTTGGCTTCTCTGGTTGGTAGCATTTCATTCCCAGTAAAAATAAAAAATGTAGACTAATGTAAACAAATGTGTGGGACTTATATCAAGAAAACTATAAATTCGATTGAGAGATATAAAATACCTGCATAGATGTGGAGAATAGTTAAATGTTAGAAAGAGAATATATTTTCCTGAATGAGAAGATTCCTGAATGAGAGATTGAATATTGAGAAGATACAAGATCTCACCAAATTAACTCATGGGTTTATGCAACTCCAATCAGAAATCCCACTGGGATTTTCTAAAATGCATTTGAAGAGTTACATTGGTTAAAATAGCAAAGAATTTTTTTTTAGTTATGAAGGAAAGCTTTCCACCCCAAAACACTAAAATGCATTCTGCAGCTAAATAACAAAAACAATCTAGGGGTGCCTAGGTGGCTCAGTCGGTTAAGAGTCTGCCTTCAGCTCAGGTCCTGATGCCAGGATCCTGGGATTGAGTCCCACATCAGGCTCCCTGCTCAGGGAGCCCTCTGCCCTCCCCCCCTACTCATTCTCTCATTCTCTCTCTCTCTCTCTCTCTCTCTCTCTCTCACTCTCAAATAAATAAAATCTAAAAAAATAAAATAAAATCTAGTACCAGCAGAAGTGATAGACATTTATGGAACAGAATACAGAATCTGGAAAAAGACCCCAATTTACATGATTTGTAGGACGGAATGATTTATTAACAAATAAGTTAGGGTAACTGGTCAACTTGTTAAAGGTGGGGAAGAATGGTAATCTGATTAGTGTCTGTCTGTTCCTTATCAAGGAACAAATTAACAAGTAGTTTAAAGAGTTAAGTATTAAAAATGAAACCATAAAAGGATGAAGAAACTATAGGAAATATTTCTGACCCTAGAATGGAATAGACTTTCAAAGCATTAAAAAGTCACAAGGAGCACATGGGTGGCACAGTCAAGCGCCCTACTCTTGGTTTTGGCTCAGGTCATGATCTCAGGGTCCTGAGCACGGAGCCTGCCTAAGGCTTTTTCTCCCTCTCCCTGAGCCCCTCTCCCACCTCAAATAAATAAAATAAATCTTTCTTTTTAAGTCACAAAGAAAAAATACTGATATACTTTACTGTATAAAAATTGAAAACTTCATCAAAAAATTTAAATACTTCAAAGTTAAAAAGGATATGGTAATCTTGGAGAAAATGTTAGCAATGAATATAACAAAGGCATAATTTCCTTAATGAATAAAGAGCTCTTAAAATTTGTTGGGAAACCAGTAGCATACCTCAGGGTAGCTATACCACTTTCCTATCACATTATGCCCAGGTCACAGTGCTAAATAGGTTTTATAAACAGAATACAGTTCCAATAACCCAAGAGAAATGTAGATCTTACTTTTCATTCACATATTCTTTGTTCAAAGACAGTTTAAGGAAACTACACATTATGCTATAAATACTTGAGGACAGTTTGTCCACACTGACACTTCCATTTCCTAAAATGAAACCCTCACTGGCCCACAGGGAGAAAACAGGCTGGCTTTGTTAACCAGCTTTATTTCAACAAGCACATCCATATGGTAAGAACTTCCTCTGATGAGTCACCCACAGTTGTCAAACACCAACTTTCCTTTGTTTGACCTGTGCAGAAATAAGGTCTGTGGAAGCACAACGCAGGAGTCTGAATCATTTAATTGTGTTTTTTTTTCATATCTGAGTTTGCATCCGTCACAAACCCAGTATGTCCACCCTAAAAAATTGCATTCTTCAAATATCACTGAAAAAATCCCATTCAAATGGGTCTGTTCTGTCTAGATAGTCTGTGAAATTTCTAAGGAATGTTGTGGGCTTTGCTTCCTGTGCTAAATTGTTGAGTTATCACACATTATTGGATTCTACCCAAAATGTGCTGGATAGGAATATTATATTCATACAGGATACCAGTTGTCTGTACCATTCAGAAAGGAAAAAAAAATTACCACTCCTTGTCATAAAATAAAACTCCGTCTAAAAGGGTAGATAGAAATGTGTGTGCAAATAATTTTTTTTAAATATGTCCTTGATTCTTGTCATCATAGAGGCTTGACTGGTATTTATTCACAGCTTTGTTATGACTGCTAGGTACTTTCTTGTCTCTTCAAGTTCAAAACAAGGACTATAGAGCCCAAATTCAGATCCTGCTCTAGGGTATGGTGCCATCTTAGTTTGGTTGAAAAGGAGGAGATCTTTAGAGATGCTATCTTACCCGTTTGTATATAAAAAGAGAAAAGAATTGAGGTGATGCTTTGTGATTTTTTTTAAGTACTCACCCATCATTAAAAATATGTGATCTCAGGGTCCTGGGATCCAGCTTCTAGTGGGGAAAAAAAAATCTCTGCTCAGCAGGGAGTCTGCTCAAGGATTCTCCCTCTCCCTCTTCTCCTCCACACCTGCTCATACACTCTCTCTAAAATGAATAAATAAATCTTAAAAAAGAAAAAAGCCAATCTCAAAAGGTTACATTCTGCAGGATTCCATTTATATAACATTCTTGAAAATGACAAAATTATAGATACAGAACAGATTAGTGGTTGCCAGAGGTTAAGGAGAGGTGGGGGCAGGAGGGAAGTGAATGTGGCTCTAAAAGAACAACATGAAAGATCCTTGCCATGGCAATGCTCTGTGTCTTGACTCTTTCAAAGTTAATATCTATATCTCATGTGTGTTACTGTATTAAAATTCTCACAAGATGTTTTCCTCGGAGAAACTGGGTAAATTTTTTTTAAATCCTGTATATATATATATATATATATATATATATATATATATATATATATATATAAATGCAATAAATAAGCCTCTAAAAAATTAAGATGGCTCTTGGGTCAATAAAATTCTATCCTGAGAAAACAAGTGCTTACTTCTGCTGATTGATCACTGCACTGATATTTCAATATTAGTGTCACGTGTAGACAGCATCACTAACATTCCAGAGCTAATACCCATATTTGTATGCTAAGCAGCCTTCTTTTTTTTAAAGGAAAAAATGAGAAAATCAGTCTTCTGCTATTTGGAGTATTTGTAATCAAAGATTGAATCTAATTTGAGGATATTTTTGGATAATTTGTAATATTCTTGAGTGATACTTTTGGTTCTTTTTTGAGTAAAACTACTTAAAAAAAAAAGCCACTTCAACCAATAGACACTTCTATTTGAGAAAATTTCTAGTGATTATTTAACCCCCAAATCAACATTAAGACCTTCAGCCCTGGATTATGTCATTTTGATGACAGATGGTTGATGTCAGTATTAGAGTGTTTGCAGGAGAAAGCATGTGTACATGAGCATAGAGGTGCTCAGAATTAATATACTAAAAGACATATCCACATTAGAGCTTGTAAGACTCTCTTTGGTGAAAATGTTGTATCAAAGACAACATTCCTGGTAAATTCCTAGAATAAATGAAGAAGTGGCTTTGAAAGCCACAATTCTGTTACCATGACATATGTAATACTTGGTCTTGGAATGTGTCATTATTAGATGGGCTAACTTTTACATTTGCTAACTTTTATTCCTTGTATATATATTGCTTTGATGTCAGTTTATCAGAGAGAGAAAACTTGATTGACTTGGGTTACTTTCAGTCCATTTGGCTAGTTTGTTTTCTATATGTTTTGCTGATAATCTCCATACTCTCCTGCATACACCAGGCAGCACTTTAGAATTGTTTCTCGGCCCAGCTCGAAGCCAGTTGCTACCAATCAATTAGATTGGACAAGATGAAAATACTTCTTGTCATCTTAGACAAGTAGCTCCACCTCCATTTCTTGGTGGCTGCCTTTTTAGACCATGCATTTCCCTCCGACCGTTTGACCTACAGACTGGCAATCCTCTTGCCTTAGGCAAAGCGTACAGTTGACCCTGGAATGACACAAGGGTTAAGGGTGCCAAACCCTTCCCCAGCTCGGTGGAAAATGGATGTATAACTTTTGGCTCCCCTCAAACTTAACTACTAATAGCCTACCATTGACTGAAAACCTTATGAACATTAACACATATTTTAGATGTATTATATACTGTATCCTTCCAATAAAGGTAGAAAATATGTTTACCATACTGTAAAAAAGAAAATCCGTGCATAAGTGAGCCCAACCTGTGTTGCTCAAGGATCAAATGTATATACCAGGTCATTTGCTGAGAGTAATAACATCTTAAATTATGGTATGGGGAGAGAGCTTACCAATAATCTAGTCCCTTATCACATAGTAGCAGTGAGTTGTTAAGAAAAAAGAATGAAACCTGTCTGGACCACCTTCATTCTTACTATTTTGAAAGATGCTCATCTGATTTTTCAAAACAGCCCTCAGAAATAACAATGATGATATTTTTAAAAAGATCTCTCTCTCTCTCTCTCTCTCTCTCTCTCTCTCTCTCTCTCTCTCTCTCAATTCCTTTTCCTACAGCCTCTTGTTCTGGGTCTCCTGTATAGGGTGGCCAACCATCCATTTTGCCTGGGACAGAGAGGCTTCCTGGGATACAGGATTTTCAGTGCTAACCTAAAGCCATCGTGGGCAAACTGAGCTGCTTGATCACCGTATTCCTGGGTGCTCTACCCAAATGGCCACGTATTGAGGAGCCTGGGTACCAAGGTTCTCTCACTCATGGACCAACTAACTCCCTGCTACAGTTTTTCTCTCTCTCCTAGGAAGGCATACTATCAAAAAGAGCTAGGAATTGTAGACAAATGATTTTATGATGGGGCCTAATGAGCTTCCAGTTTGGTTGCGGGATATCTCTAGTTCACAGTTCTTCAGAGTAAAGGTAGCTGATAAACTCTGAGCCCAGTTAATAATCAAAGCCTGACTAATTAATCTATGGCACTGATTCAGTCAGGTAACCTAGTAATCTCTGATCATTTCTCTGTATTCCACACACCACCATCACTCTTGCCCCAAATGATTTTCCAGCATGTTATAATTAAAGTTTCTCATGCCCAACATAAAATACAGTGAGTATTATAGCTAGAATTTTCATACAGGAGAAAGATTCCTGCTATGGGTTTATATGACAAACAGAAGACAGCTTTCCCCAGAGTGCTGAGCCTGAGATGTCTGACTTAATGAAGCTGCTTGCCCATGAGAAGTGAGGTGATTCCAGTGAGGGTCACAGATTCTGGTCTTGCTTCCAATTACCTAGTAATGAGTAATTCTAATATAAATGCTTCACCCTTGCGAGTTACTGCTTCTTAGGTTTGACTCAGATTTCTTTTCCCTCTGCTAAAACTTTCTTTCAGATGCAGTTATGTAGTATTTGGTCTGACATTAGGGTGACAGTAAGGATGAAAATGTAATAATAAAACAAGGAACTCAGCCTTGTAGAAAGTACTTGATGCATGACCATGTCTTTCCTGCCTTAGGAACTTCTCTGAGCAGTGTGACTGGAGAGCAAGAGATAAGGAAGGCACTGTGAGAGTCATGAACATGTACTTTGGCAAGAAAACTTACCAAAAAGTATATAAAATGAGTACTTGCACCCCAAACACAGAATGAGACAAATCATGTTTGTTGCTCCTATTGGACAAGAACCTGCCCAGCTTTCTGATTTTAAAGGTCAGAAAGATACTATATTTAGTAATGCGAGGAAGGAAGTGTTACAGACTGAACGTTTGTGTCTTACCACCACCACCACCAAATTCAGATATGGAAGCCCCTTCCCCTGGTTTTGATGTTATTTGGACATCTGACCTTTGGGATTATTTAGAGATTAGATTTGGGATTACTTAGGGTTATTTAGGTCAGGAGGGTGAAGCCCCCATGGTGACATTAGTGCCCTTAGAAGAGAGACCCAAGGGAACTTGTTCTCTCTCCACCACGTGAATATGCAGCAAACAAGTGGCCATCTGCAAACCAGGGAGAGAGTCCTCACCAAACACTAACCCTGTCAGCACCTTCATCCAGGACATCCAGCCTGCTGAACTATGGGAAATAAATTTCCATTGTGTAAGCCACCCAACCCATGGTATTTTGTTATGGCAGCCCGAGCCATAACTGAGACAAGAAAAGATAGCTCTGCAACAACAGAAAGGCGACTCTTTAATTGAATAAGTATTTAAGAGCAATAATTATTTCTGGCAAATGGTAGATAATACTTGTTGAAGTGGTTAGAAATATTTTTTTTTATCTGACTGACCACTTAGGCTTCTTGAGTCATCTGTAAAATTGACTAAATCAGTAAGTATATTAATTTGTAAGTTTTGTAATGTTTCAGAAGTCTCAAGTGATTTGGTGAGGTCCCATTTAATTTTAATTCTCAATTTTGAATTGAAAACTGGTGGGGTTTTCCTCTGCCTCTCTCGTGCTTGCTTGCTCTCTCTCTCAAGGAAGTTACTCATACTTAGTCCAGTAAAATATGAGCCCTCTGTGGAGAAATAAATTATTCACATCTGGTAACAAGGAAAAATTAATTCAGCTATTTATTTGTAAGGAAATGACCAGACTCAGAGTCCCCTGGTGTGGACAGAGGGCAGCACGCTCTCTAAGCTGTATTCATCTGCTCTATCCTGTCAGCGGCACCTCCCTTCCCTGGTAGGAGATGCTTTTTCCTCTGGGTCTCTGGCTCATTCAACAGAACTACATCTCAGATTCTTCTTTTTACCTGGGTCCTTGTATTGTATTCCTTGGGCTTTAATTTTATTTTTCTCCCATGCTCTTTCCCACCAGCGCCCCTTCCTTTCTGGGCTGGTTTCCTACAAGAGCCTCTTTCACACCCACACCCCCTCTAATCCCTCACTCTCAGTTGTATTTTGCTGCACTTCTTCTCAACCTTTCTCTTTCTTTGTCTTCCAAGAAGCCCATCCATGACCTGCATACCTGGGTAAAGTAAAGCACGTCAGGGCAAAGTTCCTATTATCCTGCATGCCTCTTGCTGCTTCTCTGATGGTTTGGGTGAGATTTTATATGTAGGAGACTTCATTGTCAACCAGCCCCTGTTTTTAAAGACCCACTATTTGCAGGATGATGTCTTCTAGTGCCACAGATTCATTAAAGCATAAACAGATACAATAATAGAAACCAAATCGGTCTGGGCTCTAAATGGGCATACATCTGTTCACATATACATATCTGCACAAACACACATGCTGGTACTTGAATTATCCAGAGTGAAACCAAGGACACAAGTTTTGAGGTGGGAGGGACCGAGGTTGATGGGAAGAAGGGAGAGAAAGCCTTCTCAGTGGGAGGAACAGTAACCATTCCTGTTTATTAAATGAGTGCCAGTCATGAACAAAGCGGGGGTAAATTATGTGCCCTGGATACTAAAGCAAGTAAGGTTTGGCCCTGGCTTCAGAGAGTTTTCAGTTGGTTGGGCAGACCAACAAGTAACTGAGTAATAGAAGTAGGTTAGCATAAGATGGGGGAATGCAGAGATGAGGTAAACAGATTCCATATATGCGGCACTATATAGCAAGTAACAGCGTTGGGGTTTTTTCCTTCTGAATGACACTCCATTGTATGGCTATATGACATTCTGTTATCCCACTGTCAGTTCATGGACATTTGGGATGTTTCCACTTCTTGGCTATTATGAATAATACTGCTATGTGCATTCATGTACAAGTGTTTGTGTGCACATACATTGCAGGTATTGTTGGGTATATACCTAGGCAGGCCTAACTATCTTTTGCATGTTTTTCATTTTTAGATTTCAGAGTGTTGTTTTATACATTATTTTTTGTTATAAAGGAATATGTTTAAAATTAAGTCAGTTATCTTCCAGTTTTCTCCCCACACTACCATCTCCATACCTTTCTCATTCAGCCTGGCTTTACCAATAATGCAAACTTAAAACCATGCTGTTTCTCCCAAGTTGTGTTCAGTCTTTTACCAAATTCAGATCACCTTCCCTTTTATGTCTTTATGCCCTTTCCCATTTGCTTGTCCCCCTGGTTTAGGTTCTTGTCATCTCATTCATGCACTGACCTCCCCGTTGGCCTCCCTAGCTGTCCCCATCCCCTCTGAATGACTCAGTAAACCTTTGCTATATTAATCTTTCTAAAACACTGCTTCTGTTTGCTCCTCATTAGGAGTCAGACCAGCTTAGCCACTTAGTGAGCAGTTTCCTTGGTTAAGTTTCTTTATTTCTCATCTATAAAATGCAGTTAATCAGACCCACCTCCCAACATTCAAGTGAAGATTAAATTATTATCTTGAGCTTTTATCTCCCACCAGTAAAATGAAATAAACTTCTTTATTTCAAGATCCTACATTTGTATCTCTTGTCTCCCACAGAGGCAAGGATCATTATGGTAGTATGTAATATGTATATTTACTTATAACTACTGTAAATTTACATTTTAATGTATTTTATATTTGTATTAAAATGTGTAATATAATTTAAATATATGTATATTATATGTTAAGACCATATATTACATAATATTTACATTTAATATATATTTGGGGAGAAGGCTTATCTCCCAGCACCTATGCAGCCATGTGTGCTTAGTGGATGATCACTCAGTGTTTACGAAGCAAATCACTTAATTGATTTTCTGCTTAATCTGGTTATTTGAATAGGTGGTAATTGTATAGTGATAAGGTAACATTTTTAACTTAACAGATAACAGCTCTCTCTAGAACTGAACATGGGAGCAAGCATAAAATAGTAAGCAATATTTTTCAAAAGGTCACGTTATGAACATGGACAATTCCTCTGTTCATCAAGAAAGATGGCAGTGAAAGTGTAACGGCAGGTCAAATGCAGGTTGCAGAGGTGTTCTATAGGGTGATCCATGACTTCCTCATCTTTTTAGTACAATGAAAGTATTGTAACTAAACAAAACCTTTCATCTTCCCTTATGCATGAATCATTTCCTTTCTATAACAGACATATCAGCATACACATCTCATCTGCTAGAAAACATACTCTACTTCTAAATGTTTTCCACTGTTTATTGAGGTTATGAATGATATTTATATATTCTTTTAGTGTGTTTAAAAAGGCATGTAATCTGAAACTTGGTAGCCTTTGTAATTTGACCCGAGAAAATTCACTTCATGCTTAAAAGACATGGTGAGTGTTGCTAAAACTATGTACAGCGGAAGAAATGATATTGCCAATCCAAAATTAATCAAAGCTTATTGGAAATGTTGACATTCATTCTTTTCCTGATGATAAATGTGTAAGAGTTCTAACAGGTGTAGGGAATAGTGACCCGAGAGGAAGAACTATTAGCCATTAATATGATTTGGGCATCTACCATGTGGTGACAAGTATCCCCTTCCTTTCTTGTCCACTGCATGAAATATTTTATCATTTGTGTACAATAATGACCACAAACAACAGAGGTATCTACCATGTATGAGTATGAGAAAGTATGTATGTGTTTAGTTGCCACTTATTGTAGCTCTACTATAAACTGGACGTTTTACAGATAAAGCAAATAAGATTTAGAGAGACTAAGTGACTTTCCTAAGGTCATTCAGAAAGAAATAAGCCAGGTAGGGTGTCACCCAGAACAGTTCATATGCCCCTTCCCCAGTCAAAAAATATCCAGAAAAAAATCAACATGTTGGACAGGGTTTGTGTGCATTAAGGCTGAAACTCCCACAAATTCAAAAAAGCTTTGGGAAAAATCCTTGCTAATGAAAACCCCAAGAACCATACTTAATTTGGCATGAGAGTGCCCACAGTCATTTTAGAAGAAAATTGACTTTGCTACAGTTTGAAATGAATGCAATTTGTTGTTTTATTTACAATAATCTCCTCTTAGTTAAAAAATGCTTATATGTATAAATTAAAATTTATTGTTTGCAGAAAGTTATCAGCATTAACTATTACCAAGTATAATAGTGAAGGAAGATATTTGAAGAGAATACTTGGAAATAACCTAAATTTCTCTTCCGTAAAAATATAGCAATGTTCAGTTTCAGATATTTTCCCCCTAGATATTATTTGTCAAATAAATTGGATTCAAAGGGTGGAATGGCATAGTCTTCCGGTAGGGTCCTCTGTAGTTAATGTGGTAATTTAAATAGAAAAGAGGTTGGGGCCATGAGAAACTGAGAGAGAGGTTAATGCAAATGGGTGTAATAGTCCCAAGAAGCAAGCATGGAGAAAATCTTCTGAGGAAGAAGGAAGGTCATAGGCTAGGTAAAGAGAAAAGAAATGTAGAAAATTAGGAATGGATCCATGAAATGTAGATTCAGCAAAGGCCTTTAGTAGATAATGTTTGTACACCATTTACCCAAACACTTGGTTTAAACTACTGAAAAGTCATCTGAAGTAATTAATTATAGTTTTTGATAGAGTAAACTGCATAAAAGTTACTCACCTTAAGTAATGACCCATATAATAAAGGAACTTTTTAGTATATCAATCCAGTAAAAACAATTGCAGTTTTTATGTGGGGATGTTCTTGCTGGTTAACCCCCAAAAAATGTGTATATAAAGAAGAAATGTTTTGAAAAATATAAAACTAGGCTTCAGATGTACTGCTTTCAGTAGAATATCTCTTTTGTTAATTTTACTTTTAAGTAATTAGTTTTAAAAAATTAGTAAGTATGCCACCTGGAAGGCTTTGAGGATAGCTTAGTGGATCCTCTCCCTGCAATAACTCAAAAAAATGCATGCCTTTTTAATTTTTATGAACCTCTAAAATATAAAAATATAAAACCTCTGTAATATATATTCCCTTTTCGTCTTCAGTCTTTACGACAGGCCCATATAAATACACCCTAGGATTTCCAGGAGAGGTAGATGTTTAGGTAATAGGAAGAAACAGAGTTTGGAGTTATTTTGGACTTCCTCACATTGTCACTGTCTGGCCATCTCTAGCCCAGTCTCAGTGTCTCAATCTTTCTGGGTCTTATTCTCCCCCATGTTGGTCCTTCCACCCTTTACTTCCTTCCAGCTCATTCTTGTGTCATGGTTATAAAGAAGCAGCCAAGTTTGACTCATGTATGTGTGTGTTTTAGCTGAATCATTGCTACAATTATAAAATTATTCAAGCCAGTAGAATTAAACTCTCCCTCACCACCAAACCAAAGAATGTAGCCAAAAATGTCCATAATTGTCTGCCTAAAATATGGCATAAATTATATGAATTAAAGGATATTTAACTCAGCTCATCTGAGGGAGGAAGAAATATTCAGAACAACCTCAGTGAAAATACAATCCTCAGTACATGATGCACACAGGTCAGAGACCTGACAGCCAAGACTTTTGACCATGGAGCCTTATTCATAGACAGATTGTATCATATAACTGAACAATCTTATTCTTACATTTCTGTATTATATCATAGCACCCCAAGAATTCATCATGATGAAAACTTTCATCTTACCTCTAAATCCACTGTAACTCTCCATGCTTCTAATGAACGTAGCATCTTCTATCACAAAACCAGCTCCTACAAACTTGAGAATTGTCAGCACAAAACTGAATGGTTGGTCCTAAGAATTTGGTCACATTTATGACCAGCCTTTTGGTCAACTAGGAGTATCATTTGCAATTAGGCCTGTTACCCCCTTTCATGTGATTCATTTCCATTATCTTGTAACTGATTATGTTTTTACATCACAGAGATCTATTTCATAGGAGTTCATTGCATGCAGTCAGGACTTAGTGGTTCTATATAATTTATGCCAATCCATATCTGTCATAAAGCCAAATTAATAGACCTCACATGCCAGGTCTTCTTATGGGCAAATGTCATTCTGACATTCTATACACTGAATTGTTGCTTCCAAGTTTCTAGGATTCCCCATAGCAGGTCACAGAGAAGTGGTTATGATTCAGACCTTTCTGCTTCTTAAACTCATTAAAGCAGGCCAATTTACTGGGCTAATTCTAAGTCAAGGATGTAAGGGTCATTTCATTCTGTGAGCCAAGTCCCGCCAATAGAGCTAAGACTAGGTTCTGGCAGTATGGTAGACTGCATGATTTAAAAGCCCTCTGCTACAACATGCAGCAAACATAAGATAAAATATCCAAGCCCTTGCTTAAACGCACTGTGGAGCTAGCAAAAAAAAAAAAAAAAAAAAAAAAGTTACAATATTGCCAAGGGAGAAAAACAAAAAGGTAGCTGAAAACCAAACCAGTGAGGGGTGTGAGCTGCTGCTGCAGCTGAGCCTCCTCAGGCCCTGGTCTCAGTGTCCACCTCAGGAGAGAGAGATGGTCTCCTGCTTCTGCCTGGGAACAACATCCACTCAAGTCAGTCCGCTTTATTTGTTTCCCATGGCCATGGCCAGTTGATTTTAAACTGCTCCATGATCCTCAGATAATTTCACTGTGGATACCAGTCTTCTTCATGAAGGGTGAGGGGCTTGGCATATTTACAAAGCTGCTTAACCAGCTCATCAGATTAAACATGATCCCTCTGTTCCCTCTGTGCTTGCTGACCTGACATGCCCATCACTCGAGCCATCTGAGATACCTGCTAAACAAAGATGGGTGATTTGCGTCTGTCCAAACCTCATAATGCTGGATATACTTCGTTATATAATTTCATGCTTTTAACATTAAGGAAAAATGAGTTCGAAAAGTGCTCTTTCTTTTCTGTGCAACCCAAGTTCTGTACTTTGGAAAGGAAAAAAAATGGTGTATCAATTAAGATGTGACCAAAACAGTTGTAAAAAAATTGCACTGGGGGAGGAATGTAAAAATCTAGAAGGGCCTAACACTGTATATCAACAATACTGGAATTAAAATTTAAAACTTCATGGGGGATCCCTGGGTGACTCAGTGGTTTGGTGCCTGCCTTCGGCCCAGGACGTGATCCTGGAGCCCCGGGATCGAGTCCCGCATCGGGCTCCCTGCATGGACCCACTTTTCCCTCTGCCTGTGTCTCTGCCTCTCTCTCTCTTTCTCTGTGTCTCACATGAATAAATAAAAAATCTTTAAAAAATAAAAATAAAATAAAATAAAAAATAATAAAACTTCATTAAGGGACACCTAGCTGGTTCAGTCAGTAGAGTGTACGACTCTTGATCTCAGGGTTGTAAGTTCAAGCCCCATGTTGGGTATAGAGATTCCTTAAAAATAAAATCTTTAAACAAAAACAATTAAAAAAAATTAGAAGAGCCATCAGACAATAAGTTTATGGAAAGAATAGAGAACTTCAGTCAGTCTGGTGAATTGCTTTGTTCTTTGTTAAAGCAGGGCAAGAATTTAAAGACACCTTGGACATATGCAAAGCAGTCTTAAGTACAGAATCCCATAGGCACCTGCTTGTGAAAACACGGGTTCTCTATAAAGGGCTCTTCACACTGTCTCTGTGCCATTTCACCCTAGAGGCTCAGCTGTAGGGACCATCTATGAATGTAGAGAACATTAGTAACCAAAAAAAAAAAAAAAAAAGTATTACAATTTAGTAATGAAGCAGATAGGTTTTGGAGCAAGGCAGACTTTGTTTGAATTTTAAGTCTGCATTTTGTTATTTGTCCTTAAGTAAGTCATGAAACCTCTCCAATCCTATTTGCTCATGAGAAAATAGTAATAATAATACTACCTTTCACCTGAAATTTTTGTGAGAATTAAATGAGATAATGTTTGGGGAGCACATGGCATTATGTCACATTCAACATTAGGGTTCTAGAAATAATAGCTGTTAGGATTCCATTTTTGGCTTTTCTAAAATAGATGCATAATATTTATAACTGATATATAGCATTATAAAAATATGATCCCTGGTAGTAGGCTATAAATATTTTCTAAGGCACATTATTGTTGAAAAATATGTTTGCCAGTCATTGATTAAGGGGTTAGGAAACCTATACATGTGTGCCATAGGAATATATTAAATATTTATTGACCGAGCATCTGTTCAGGTAAAGCACTATGACAAAAATCAGGAGCAAACTGGAGAAGTTCGTGCCCTTGAGGAGTATTGATCCACTTGGGAAAATGCCAACAATGTCACCAAGTGAGCTCATTTAATTGCCAGTTAAATGCTCAGTGTACACACTGAGAGGCTGTGTGTTCATAATCAACTCTGAAGCCCATAATGATGGCTAATATTGTAAGAAGGGAAAGTGATAAAATCAGAAAAATAGATCCAGAGGTATGCCGCTGAAGCATCAGGACCCATGGGAAGACGGAGAGCCCGCAGGAAGTCCTGTGATAGCAGAGAGATGAGGGAAAGGTGCTCAGAGAAGAATCTGATCAAGAACAGTTTCAAAGAAGCCCACGCACCCCTCAGTTCAGACAAGGGCAGTGAAGCATTCCACCCTATCACAAAGTTAGGTGGAACTTTGAAACTAGGGCCTGTATATGCAGTGAGCGTGAATAGGATACCCAGAATGATGATAGGACATGAGAGCCAGATACCAGCAGTTACCTAGGAGGGATCCTTCCCGTGAAGTCAAACGCAAGGAAAATTTTCATTGACCAGAGGAAAGATGTCTCACCCTTCAAGAATGTTTTGCTTCCTGTAAACAATGGTAATGACCAATATGATTGAAATGTAACCTGAGAATATTCCCTATTTAATATGTATCTTTTTATTCTTGTAGGCCTCTTTTTCGTGGAAGTTCAGATGTCGATCAACTTGGAAAAATCTTGGAGTAAGTAGTAATTGTAATTTCACGTTGGCATTCATAGCATTAAAACATCTGCAGTGCCTTTCCTCTGACATTCATGTAAAATGTTTATCTTTTGTCTTTCCTCCCCCATGCTGCTGCCTCAGTGTTATTATTATGTGTATGGTGAGTGGGGCCATGGCAGACCTGCTGTTTTATGCAGAGCCCATCATGGCGTGTGGCGTAACCGGTCTGCTCTGGAAGCTTGTGTGTTGCTCATGTGGCTCTTTTAACTGATCCTCCTTCTCCACTTGGCTGAGCTCCAATTCTGTAATTCAGATGTGTTGTCTGCTTGGGGCCATTTCACATGCATCCACCATCAGAGGTGGGGCGTTTGGTTGCCTGGTAACCCATCCTTGCCCACTGGGCTTCCTGTTCCCATTGACTATCCCCACTGAGTCATCTAGATTGGTTTTGCATTGTTTTGTTTTGGATGGTATGCTACACTACCCATTTTTCTTTGGAGCACTAGAAGTAAGAAATGAGAATCCTAGCCCCTCATTGTATGTCTGTTGCTACATAACTTTGCAATCTTGAGAAAGTCATTTAAAACGCCCGTAAAGTACTTACACAGTGCCTGAATGCTTTAAGAATGGCAGCTATGAAAAAAAAAAATGGCAGCTATGATTATAATTCATCATTAATCACTTAACTTTTTTGTTCCTTAACTTCTCCTGAGTCATGAAGCTTCAGACGTAAATTGTAAGATCTCCTTTCTTGCGCTCAAATTCTTTGGTTCTAATTGTCGTCACTTATCTTGTTGATGATTTGCAGAGTTGCATTCATACCTACATGTTTGTGCCTGTGGGCATATATATGCTTTCATGTTTCTAGAATGTTGAGACGGGGCTTTTCCTCTCACAGTGCATAAAGAATGGCATACTCTTGGGATACATGATGCATTTGCCAAGCCCCATCAGAATTGGAGTGAAGTAAGAAAAAAGTGGGAGTTCTAGAACCAAAAATAGCCCTCATCATTGGTCTGTAACATTTTATAAAAATCCCAGTGATTTTTATGTTATTTTCAGTCCGTCAAACTGGTGAAAACTACCCCTAAAGAAAATAATTAATTTATTGATACTATCTACTCAAGCATGAATACTGAAGACGGTTGAAATAAACCGGGAACCTGAATTTGTTCTTTAAGTGACTGGAAAGCTGTCTACTAAACTTGTTAGTACCACCGTGGAATCAGAACCCCGTGGCTTCAAGGCCTGAAAAATATTTGCTGGTTTTATTGTGTGGGGCCTTCCCTGGTCCAGGGCAGCTGCTGAGACTGCCACTCCTCCTCCTCTTCTTCCTCCTCCCCCTCCTCCCCCTTCTCCAGAAGATGGACAGATTCAGGACAAAACTCCTGTTTTCTTGCTCCTAGGTGTCAACTTCTTTGTTCATACAATGATGAACCCCCATCTGTTCTTCCCCGTTACTGTTGAATATAATCTGTGTGCAGTGAAAACCTTGTTGAAGCAGTAACTGGGACAGTCAGACATACCAGTGACTATGTTAGAAGGAATAGTGATCTTGGCTGAAGACAGCTTGCCAGCCCTTGAAACCCATCACCACCTTTTCCCTGTTGATGTCACCTGGGCACTCTGTCCACCCGGGATCTGCAAACTTGTTAACGTTGTTAGTGCCCCTCAGTATCTGAAGCCGGTGAGATGGACCCAAAAGAACCTCTGGCAAACATGTTTGACTTGCTTCCAAGGGAAAACCAGTTCTACTTTTGGCAAAGGCCTGATACCCCAGGTTGCCAGCACAAAAGAAGCCCTAAAGTTCTATATGTTTTATGCCTTTAGAATTCACTTCTTGGTTTCTGGCCTTGTTACACTGAAATTATGTTCTGTTTACTTTGCATTTGTTACTTTGGCACAAAGAAAAGGGCCAATGCTGCACCCTAGTGTCATTTCTAAAGTACTTGAAAAATGATTTCTGTCCCTACTGCCATTTATAGATTTTGTGCCATCAGTCTATTTTGTGCCATCAGTCTTTACAAGTGTCAACTTTTAAGGCTTATATTCAGCTGTCCAAATACTGAAACTTGATGTAAGCACTTTTTAATGTATCAGAGTTTCACAAGACTCATATATGGGCCATAAAAGTTCATACTGGATATTAAAGTGAAATTTTGGGGGGGGTTGGGGGGGTTGTTAGGAAAGCCATATTCACATTCTCTTATGGGGAGAAACGTTTCTGTATTTAGAAAGATTTATACTTTCAAAGAACAGCAAGTACTTTGAAAATGAAACTGAATGCATTTAGCTCGTGACATTTTAGAGCATTTTTCAAAACAGAGTCATAGTTAAATGGAAACAAAATATTGGATTTGGAATAAAGGAGAGCTGGGTTCGCTCTCTGTGGCTGAACTCATTGTGTGTGACTTTGGCAGTTGATTTCACTCCTCATCCCTTCGTTTCTACGCCTATAAAAAAGGAAGTAACAACTGACCTACACATCTCATGAGATCATTATGGAATCAGAGGAGGTGATAGATTTTAAAATACTTTTGAAAGTTATTTATATAGGTAGCTACGTACACATATATGTATAATTATACACCACACATACATATACACACAGATACTCTTTTTTGCTTTTGGCGTTCAGCTACCCATATCACCAGATTTATTTCAATATAAATATATTCTAAGAAAGATGTTTTAAAATATTTGAAATTATTACTGTTTTTATAATTGATTTCTAGATGACTAGTGATGATATGCAAAAAATGATATAAAAGTGGCTAAGAAGCTAAAAATGAAGGAAATTATTAAAGTTCTTTCATAAGCATTCTCTTTTTCTTCTTCTGCCTATCCCATTCTTTCCAAGCATATACATTTATGTCTTAATAATTAATAGTGGTATCTTTTTTCTTTTTATTCTTATTCTAAATCTCGCTTTATTAAGCAAATTTGTATATTGCCCAAGTTGTCATTTCCTCTCACTTGTTCTGGTAAATATGTCCATGAATCTGCCTTTCTTTGCCTCAACAACACGGCTCTCCTAGCATGTCCAACAGATGTAGGATTTCAGTGTCTTTCCCCAGACACCCATTGACAGGTGCAATTATGATCCAGGTGTCTGTTCTTCCCAGGGGAAGTGTGGGACCTGGGCTCTGTTGAGGGAAGCAAAGGGGGAACAAAGCCTTACAGAGAACCTGTGACATTCCTCACCACATCTTCTGACACCTGGAAATCCATTCAGGAGAACACATTTTCTCAACCTTTGTCCCAATGAGTGCAGGCCAAGGAGAAGACCCTAATGCAGGCTGGCACCATTTCTAACTGTAATTGAAATATTTGGGGGGATCCCTGGGTGGCTCAGCAGTTTCTCACCTGCCTTCAGCCCAGGGCGTGGTCCTGGGGTCCTGGGATCAAGTCCTGCATCAGGTCCCTATATAGACCCTGCTTCTCCCTCTGCCTGTGTCTCCACCTCTCTCTCTTTCTCTCTCTCTCTCTCTCTCTCTCTCTCTCTCTGTCTCTCATGAGTAAAAAATTAAAATCTTTTTTTTTATTTATTTACGATAGTCACAGAGAGAGAGAGAGAGAGGCAGAGACACAGGCAGAGGGAGAAGCAGGCTCCATGCACCGGGAGCCCGACATGGGATTCGATCCCGGGTCTCCAGGATCGCGCCCTGGGCCAAAGGCAGGCGCCAAACCGCTGTGCCACCCAGGGATCCCAAAAATTAAAATCTTTAAAAAAAGAATTTTGGTCAGGGGCCACCTGACTGGCTCAGTTGGTAGAACATATGACTTGTTCTCAGGGTTGTAAGTTCGAGCCCCACATTGGGTGTAGGATGACTTCAAAATAAAATCTTAAAAAGAAAAAAACGTCTAGTCAATTTAAATAGCCATTATATTCTGTCCACTAAATTAAAACATTTTAGTTTGGAGTTAATCAGAGTCTATAAGTGAGATACAAGTTCTTGCATCCTCTGATTTCCCCTGTTCAAACCTACTTACTATCTATACATAAACTTTTTTTTTAAGATTTTATTTATTTATGCATGAGAGACACACAGAGAGGCAGAGACATAGGCAGAGGGAGAAGAAAGCTCCCTGTGAGGAGCCCAGTATGGGACTCAATCCCAGGATCCAGGATTGTGACCTGAGCTGAAGGCCGATGCTCAACCACTGAGCCACCCAGGCATCCCTCTATAAACTTTAAATAGTATTTCCATAGTGTAGGGACACCTGGGTGATTCGGTCCATTGAGCAGTCCACTCTTGGTTTCCATTGAGTCATGATCTCAGGGTCATGGGCTTGCCCCCTGCCCCCTACCATCAGGCTCCGTGCTGAGTACAGAGTCTGCTTATCTCTCCTCCAACCCCAACCTCCTGTGCAAGTGAGCCCTCTCGAAGAAGAAAAGAAGAAAAGAAGAAGAAGAAGAAGAAGAAGAAGAAGAAGAAGAAGAAAGAAGAAGAAGAAAGGAGGGAGGGAGGGAAGGAAGCGAAGGAAGGAAGGGAGAGACAGACAAGGAAGGAAGGAAGGAAGGAAGGAAGGAAGGAAGGAAGGAAGGAAGGAAGGAAGGAAGGGAAGGAAGGAAAAGAAGAAAGAAGAAAAGAAAGAAAGAAAAAGAAAGAAAGAAAGAAAGAAAGAAAGAAAGAAAGAAAGAAAGAAAGAAAGAAAAGAAAAGAAAGAAAGAGAAAAGAAAGAAAATCTTTTTTTTTTTAATTTCCAGAGTGTCTAAGTTGTGGAAAGCCACTGACCTATTAATATTTCTGAAGAACCTCAAGTCACACACCAATAGGACACAGTTCATATTTTTAGTGTGGTAATGATGCATTGCCTGTGCATTTTAGATTAATAACATTATTTTCCTCATATGATAATGAATTATCACTGTAAATCATGATTGTTAAATAAATAAAGACACTGAGGCTCACAGAAGTTAAGTAATTTGTCCTTACCTACCAGTAAGTGGTAGGTGCAGAATTTGAACCCAGGTCTGTCTTTTCCAAAGCCTGCACTGTTGTTTTTTTTTTTTAATTTATGTTTTGTATTTGAATATAGTTGGCACACAATGCCTGTGCTGTTTCTGTATCACTTGATCCTCTCTCCACGTTTCTGATCCCAGAATAATTAGGGGAAACCTAAATGATACTGTATTTATTGTTTGCTGACTTTGGAATACCCTAAGACAGTTTTGTAGCGTGCTTGGGTGGGTCAGTTAATCATCTGGCAGCTTTAGATTTCTGCTCAGGACATGATCTCAGGACGCTCAGGTCTGTGCGTCCGGCTCTGTGCTCAGCATAGAGTCTGCTTGCCCTCTCCCTTTGTTCCCCTGCCACTTGCTCACCCTCTATCTCTAAAATAAATAAAATATTTTAAAGTAAAAAAAAAGTTTTGTAATATAAAATATATATAAATTAATTTGATTTGATAAATTATAAAACCATTTGCTGCAGATTAAAATACCTTTTAGCCTCTTTTTTGGTCTGATTCTAATGTATGTAGTTACTGTTTGGGGAATTATTCTTTAACCAAAAGTGCAACCAGATTTATGTGTTAATGAATCATGCTAGATGAGCATCATAAAAACATGTGACTATGAGAGTGTTAAATCAGAACACAAAAAGCACTCTTGGGCACAAAGGAAAATATATGCCCATGTGGGCCTCCTTGGAATATATAGGTCCTATTCTGTCAGTATGTTAGGACTTACTAGTAATATAATATTTCCTATTTCTGCATCATCTCATACATTTAGTATCTGCCACCAGAGTGATCTCTTAGGTCTTCCCAGTGAATTTTACAACTCTGTGAGATCGTCCTCTAGCCTGTGTTCACTATATTGCAGTAGGACGGAGATGAGCGTCCTGCCGATCATACAAGCGAGGAGCTCCCTTGGCTCTGTGTCCCCTGCCTCCTAGACTTCACCATCATCCGGATTTTGGTGGGAAAATAGCTTCAGCATAGCAGCTAATGCGTATGTTCACACATGGTTCTTTTGTAGCGTAATTGGACTCCCAGGTGAAGAGGACTGGCCTAGAGATGTCGCCCTACCCAGGCAGGCTTTCCACTCAAAATCTCCTCAACCGATTGAGAAGTTTGTGACAGACATTGATGAACAAGGCAAAGACCTCCTTTTGGTAAGTTCATGTGGTACAAAGTTGTTCATATGGTGCTGATGAAAGACATGACCTGTCCACTGGGTGGTCTGCTGGGTGGTAGGCACAGCATCAGGTTCAGCATCATGTGCCACAACCACACGGGGCAAAAGGCCATAATCTCTCTGCAGCTTTCATTTCCACACCTGCAGCAGTTGGTGGCTTTTGATTCTAGAATGTCTTCGTTTCTTTTACACAGAGAAAGGATCTGATCCACACACTTTCAATCTGCCATCTTTTAAATGTTCATTTGAATGCAGCCTTTGAAGCATCTCAATTCATCTAGACATATGCTTCCAATAAGTATTGAATGTGCCATGCATATATAAAATACCTCACTGAAAATAAGGACTTGTATTCTGAGATTGACACTAGTAATACTTGGCCTTATACATCATTCCCTACACTTAGAGGACAGAACAATAGATAGAGGAGTGTACGTATTGAGCTACTCCTGGTGTTCAGAACCCAATGAGTAACGAGTATATCCTTTAACTACTGACCAACAGCTTTTGCTATCTAGCCAAGAAAGTGCTCCCATTTTGTCAATGTATTCTAAATTTCAGATAGAGACCTAAGAGTCTGTGGGTTTTTTGTAGAAATATTATACTTTAGGGAGTGCCTAGATGGCTCAGTTGGTTGAGCATCTGCCTTCAGCTCAGGTTATGATCCCAGGGTCCTGGGATTGAGCCCCGTGTCTGGCTCCCTGCTCACCGGGAAACCTGCTTCTCCCTCTCCCTCTGCCTTCCGCTCCCCCTGCTTGTGCTCTTATAGAGCCCAGCCAGCTCTGCTTTCCTCTCCCCTTCAGTGCTTCTTTTCAGTAGTACTATCTGCTCCCCTTAATTTTGGCTGGCCCCTTGACTATCAGAACTGCAGCTAACTCTTGGATCCTCTCAGCTCCAACCCCCACTGCTAACATTTGCTCTATTAGCATCTTCTACATTAGATTCCTAAAAGGAAGAATGTGGCTGATCTACCTCACCTTCTTGCCAAGCTGTGATGAGTTGCTGTCCCAGGCCTGGTCACCATTCCTGGTCCAGTCAGCTATGCTGGGAGACGGGAGGGATGATATGTTCATGAAAATAGGGCCACCATCAGCTTTCCTTTTCAGCAAGAGCGTTGAATGGAATGCTTCTCTTAGAAGAAGATTCTGGACAGGCAGTCACAATGACAGTTTTCATAGTGAAGCATCCCACTCCTACAGCCACTGGGACACCCAAAGACAATTCAAAGTACCTCCTAGATCCAACATCAGTAGAAATCACCAAGAGGAGCTAAAAATGAAAAGATTGCAGACAACACCCCTTGCTCATTCAGTGTCTTCCACTAGTGGTGATGGCCTTCAAAGTCAGACCACAGGGATCCCTGGGTGGCGCAGTGGTTTAGCGCCTGCCTTTGGCCCAGGGCGCGATCCTGGAGACCCGGGATCGAATCCCACGTCGGGCTCCCGGTGCATGGAGCCTGCTTCTCCCTCTGCCTGTGTCTCTGCCTCTCTCTCTCTCTCTCACTGTGTGCCTATCATAAATAAAAAAAAAAAAAAAAAAAAAAAAAAAATTAAATAAAAAAAAAAAAAAAAAAACAAAGTCAGACCACAGAGTAGCGCTAAACTAGAGAAGGAGCAAGAAACAAAGAAGGAAAGGAAACAAAGAAACTACCAGGAAGAGAAGGAAGAGAGTGGACAAGAAAGAGATTAGAAAAACCAAAGGAAAGGAATAAGAAGCAGACCCAGAGACATCAGGATTGGAGGAAGAAAATTAAAGCATAATAATCCATGGGCATTCAAGGAAAAGACACCCCAACACCTCAAAGCTCAGAACCCCCTTCAAGTTCTCACTATTTCCTGCTAGAGGTACACAAGATAGAACTAAAAAACAAAAGAAAGAGAGCTGTGCGGTCCCAGCCAGGCATCTGAAACCCCAGCAGTACTTGTCGCCTCTATTCCAAATTATTTAGGAAGGATGAAAAGTGAAAGGTATTTTAGAAAGTTGTTTTATTTAAGAAACATCACTTAAATGGTTGAGCACTTCAAGAATTGTCCTTTGTTTTATCTCAAAGAAAAGGCTGACACTATAATGCCTCAGCCATGTATGTGCAGATATCTACACTGACATTTATAAATGCTCTTACACGTACATACAAGTAGTGCACAATAATAAGACAGTTCAGGGGGAAAATTATTTTTAGCAACTGAAACCTACCCATCTTTGTAAGTTTTATCCCCTTCATTCTGGTCAACTTGAGAAGCTGAGTACTTATTCCAAATGTAATGCTCTTGCTGAAAAAAGTTTGAGAATTTTCTGCTGTTTTCAGAGCCTAGGGTACATATTGGAGAGGGGAGGGTGTATTCCTTGGATTAGGCTATTTTTGCTACATTACAAACCCAAAAGTCTCACTAGCATACATCAGTAAGCATTTATTTCTTGCTCATGGCTCTGCAGATTGGCAGAGACAGCTTCCCTGCAGCCTATAGGTCAAGTACAAGTGTTCTGCATGTGTCTCATTCTGGGACCCAGAACAAGAGGGACTTTGGCTCCCTGGAGCATGTTTTTCTCACAATAGAAGGTGGATGCCCCTAGAAGGGCAAGCATAAACACAATGGCCCCATGGCCTGGCAGAGGCTTGGAAGAGGCACCCTGCTGCTTCTCCTCACATTCCATTGACCAAAGCAAGTTCTGTGGCCAAGGCCAACTCTAATAGAGGAAGGAATACTCCTCCTGTGAAGGCAGGGATGGGAAGAAGGAGGATATGTGCTGAAAAATGATCCAATCCATCATAGTATACAACTCTGGACTAAATAGCAATTCCAAAAGCTCATTTTATCAGTCCGTTATTTGGCAAGTAAATTAGATTTTCTCAGAGAAACAATATTCTTAAATAAGATTTTGAATTATTTCTAAAGTTATCCAATTGCTCAGTTGAAGTAGAGCAATGATAGAGCTTAGCCACCATCTCTAACAATATTTCTATATGACATATAAGGTATTAAGATTTCCAACCTGAGATTCTCACACATTTCCACGTTAGGCTAAGGATTTATCCTTCTCTCCACCCACTTCCCATCTCTAAGCCATCAGGATAACTGTGGGGACAGGCTTCCTCCCAGACAGTCCCCTAGGACATGTCTCTATCCTGAGCATATTCCCACAACTTTTTTTTTTTCTTCATTCCTATGTCCTGGAGATTAAACTGGCCGCTTCTTTTTCTAATGTCACTACCTAATTTTCTCCTTCCTGGACTCAGGGAAGACAGACCAGGCTCAAGGATTTTGCCCCTGCTCTTCTGTGCTGAGAAAATACAGCCCATGCAAAGCTTTTTCAAGATGTTTATTGCTATTAGAGACAGTAGGACCATTCTACCAACCATCTCTTTCCTCTGCTTGCCCTTTGGTTCTTTGGTTTTCAGGAGACAGACACTATGAGAGACTGGCATCCAATGACATCCAAGGCCTGGTGGGGAGTTCAGGAGAAATAAAGTTTCAGGGGATCCAAACATTGGCTTGGAAGTGTATAGAGAATATAGAATTTTCTACTCTTGAGTGTTTTTCTAGGTCCGTAGCATCCTACGAAATGTTAGAGGGCATCCTAATCCAGATAGGACCTGACTGTGACTCTGAGCCCCTTGAGGGCAAAGACCCAGGTTAAATAGAAGAGGTCAGCATAACCGTGGTATGTGCCATCTTTTGATTACAGAGAGGGCTGAAACTGATAGACATTTCCAATCCCCGGCTCACTTCAGTGGGCACTGCATCACAAGGATGGAGGGGCTGGAGGAGCTTCTCTGCTACTTGTGTCTTCCTGGGCAATGGGGGGGTCTTAGTCATCCTTCACTCGTCCTTGCCACCTGCTAGGCACTGTGGAGGTGTTGGTGGAAGGACAGGAGGCGAATGTGAGGAACAGGATTATCTGGGGGCAGAGTGGAAATGGAACTGGGGTTAGGGAAGTATTCTGCGTAACTGATGATGAATGGGCACTTGGGGAGCAGAGACGGCTGCTCCAGAGGTTCACCTTCACCCCCTCTCACCTTCCACCTGCACTGGAGTCGACAACCTGCTGGAGAGTTCAGTACCTGAACTGAACCTGATGGACGTTGCTGCTGCCCATATGGCACCAGCACCAAGACTTGACTAGAGGAAGGTGTCACTCCCTGCAGACAGTGCAGCCCTGGGGGCAGGGTGCATGGCTTGCTGGCAGATCCAGATCTGCAGCACCTGGGTTTTAGCCCTTAACTTGCCACCTCCTTAGTAGAGAAAACCTTTATTTCCTGGCATAAAGTGTTTTTCCTTTTTTTGTTTCTTCTGTTGTTATTTTGTTTGGGTTTTGATGTTAGAAATCCTGATGTCAGAAACTATTTCTATCACGTAGTCATGAGCCTTTTACCCCCTTCCATTCCCAACTCACCAGTAAACATTGGGGAAGAATAAAAAGTTCAGGTGACATCTCTGACTATAGCACAAAGTTTGCTAGCATTAGAAAAATCACTACCTAAATAAGGTTGTATACATGCTACAATAACAATACCTTTTAGCAACTCCTGGGTGGCTCAGTGGTTGAACATCTGCCTTCAGCTCAGGTCTTGATCCCAGGGTCTGGGATCGAGTTCCGAGTCGGGCTCCTTGTGGGGGACCTGCTTCTCCCTCTGCTAAGTCTCTGCCTCTCTGTCTCTCATGAATGAATAAATAAAATCTTAAAAATATATATATATATTTTAAAGGACATAGTATGAGTTGAATAGAAAGCCCGGGGAGCTAACAGTCCACAGGCCACTCGAAAGCTGTTGCCTCTTCCTGAAGAGCAGTTTATACATTGAGGACATACATAAGATGGCTGTTGTCTGCATTTTGTTTAGTTTCCCTTTTTTTTTTTTTTTTTTTAAGATTTTTTTTTAGGGCAGCCCGGGTAGCTCAGCGGTTTAGCGCCACCTTCAGTCCAGGGCCTGATCCTGGAGACCCGGGATGGAGTCCCATGTCGGGCTCCCTGCATGGAGCCTGCTTCTCCCTCTGCCTGTGTCTCTCTCTCTCTCTCTCTGTGTGTGTGTGTGTGTGTGTGTGTGTGTGTGTGTGTCTCCTGAATAAATAAATAGAATCTCAAAAAAAAAAAAATCAAAAAATAAATAAATAAATAAATAAATAAATAGAATCTCTAAAAAAAAAAAAAGATTTTTTTAAAGATTTTATTAATTTATGCATGAGAGATAGAGAGAGAGTCAGAGACATAGGCAGGGGGCGGGGCGCAAGTTCCCTGTGGGGAGGCCCAGGCCCCCAGGATCAAGCCCTGAGCCAAAGGCAGATGCTCAACTTCTGAGCCACCCAGGCATCCCTTTTTTTTTAGAAGATTCATATATTTATTTGAGAGAGAGAGACAGGGTGAGCAGGGGAGGGGCAGAGGGAGAGAAAGACTCTCAAGCAGACTCCCCACAGAGCACAAAGCCTCAGGCTGGGGCTCAGTCTCACCACCCAGATCATGACCTGAGCTGAAAGCCAAGAGTTGGCCACTCAACCGACTGAGCCACCCAGGCGCCCCCTAGTGTCTCCTGAGTAGACATTCATTCTCATTGTAGAACCCCAATTCATGACAGTGAATTAATCCATAACTTGTAAACACATTCTTTAAATGGACATGTTTTAAGTCAATCGATTATTTTTTTCTTTATCACAGAAGTGCTTAACATTTAATCCAGCCAAAAGAATATCTGCCTACAGTGCCCTGTCTCACCCATACTTCCATGACCTGGAGAGGTGCAAGGAAAACTTGGATTCCCATCTGCCGCCCAGCCAGAACAGCTCAGAGATGAACACAGCCTGAGGTCCCAACTGCCACCTTGAGCTGATCACCCGAAGAACACCCGTGGGGGCTGATGCCATTCCCCCCCACCCCCACACTTGAGTAAGCCCTGGCAGAGCTGCTGAGGATCACTGGCTGGGGACCTTCTAGTGGCCATCTTCTGGACGGGCTCTGCTTCTCCATGGAAACCGCCTAGTTTACTGTTTTGAAATCAATGCAAGAATGATTGCAGCTTTATGTTCATTGTTTGTTTGTCTGTCTGTTTGTTTGTTTCAAGAACCTGGAAAAATTCCAGAAGAAGAGAAGCTGCTGACCAATTGTGCTGCCATTTCATTTTTCTAACCTTGAATGCTGCCAGTGTGAAGTGAGCAATCCAGGCACAGCTGAGTTATGATGTAATCTCACTGCAGCTGCCCGAGCCTGATTCGGTACTTTTGAGCGAGAGTGTGTGTGTGTCTGTGTGTGTGTGTGTGTGTGTGTGTGTGTGTGTGTGATTCTTGAGCTCTTAAAGTGTTACTTTCTATAAACAAGAAGAATAATTGAATTTTAAAGACTCAAAGTGACCTATAAATAACTGGTGTCTGTTGACTAAAGGTGACTTACCAGAATGGGCTTCTCGAATTAGAAAGTTGAACCAATGTCCTCAGAATCTCTTTTATGGCCAAAAGTAGTAAATTTGCTAGCAGTAAAAGATTCACTATCTAGATGAAGTTTTATACACACAACAAAAGGAAAAAAAAGGCTAGTGTCTTTTAAGAGACATGTCTTTTAAAGCATAACATTCTGTTTACTCTTCAAAAAGCTGAATTTACTCCTTATAAGTCCATTTTAACCTGTATTATATGCTTTATTGTGTCTTTTAAAAGATACCCTATAAGCTTTTTCTTACTTACTATAGATTTAGGGAGTACACCTCAAATAGGTAAAATTGTCAAAAAAAATTTAGAGAAAGCCTTTATTTCCTGATTTAAAATCTATTTCCTTTTTAGGTTTTGTTGTTACTTTATTTTGGTTTTGATTTTAGGAATTTGTCAGAAACTGTTTTCTGTTCTGATCTGGATAGTAGTTCTGACTAGAGACAGGAATACCATTTAACTTTTCTCTATTACACTGTACTTTTTCTACCATGCACTGCCTTGTTTGCAAAGTATCCATCTTATCTATCCCCCAGGGCCTCTAATATACATTACTACCATTAAATAACTATTAACAGATTGCTTAAACTTTTCCCATGCATCTCTTTCTTGCTTTCTTTCAATGAACCTTTTGTAAATAGTCAGATTGTGGCTTATGGCTCCAGTTGTGTGATCCTAACAGGGTCCTGAATGTTCTTGCTCTGATGCGATCTTCTTACCTAGCATTCATTGTTGTTACCTAAGCAGTGAGTAGAGGACTGGTTCTTCTCTATCACCAGCACATAGATTACTTTAAACTGTTACTTAGTGTTTTATGATTTCTTAGAATATGTTGTCAGTGAAGAATCAGAGGGGAATATCTTTAACTATTTTTTAGAAATATATATATTTTACTCTATAAAATGATCTTTTCTCCATCCCAAGGCTCTGCTTGTTTCTAGTGCCTTGTGCATACTCCTGCTCTCTGCAGAGCCAGCCTGACCTGGGCATTGTGAACAGCTTTATTTTTGTTTCTTGCCATTTTCTCTACTGTTCTTTATATTCCATGTCATCTCTGCCTTATATGTGGTCAGTGCTCAAAGACACAGAGATTAAGTATCTTTTTGGAAATTTAGCTGTCTTTGCTCTCTGACTCATATTTTCAGTGCATGCAAGAGTTAGACCATGTTTAGAGTTAGGGTTTTCAAAGAATGAACATTGCCTCCCTCAGTAGAAAATGTTCCAGATGATGTTTATATATCGTCGAGCCTTACTGAATCCTTCATAGCTCAATACTCTATACTACCATCTGGAACAAGAGAAAAATTAGGAGACTTTTCTACTTGCAAGCTTTTTGGGTTGGGAATTACTCTTTTTTTTAATATATATATTGTTTAACATTTTTCTAACCCAGTAACTTGAAGAGCAAGAAGATTTGTCTAAAGCCAGATAGGAATGAGAAGATGGGCCATAAGAATGCGTAACGCTTTTCTTCATTGTTGACAACATTGATTATGTTTTGTCATCACTGTAAATGCTTGAGATATAATGAATCCAGAGCATTTGGGGCAATGTCTCCCTGGAACAGTGAATATACTGCCTTAACTTTGATCAGGGGTCAAAATACAAAGACATTTTTGCTGGGGCCTAGAAATTGAATTTTTAAACTCACTGCACTGATTCATCATGTGCTTTTTAGTTAGTATCCATGGTTAGAGTGGACATAACTTGCATTCTTGCTTTTTTTAAGTTTTTCATAAGTTCTCTCAAGAAAAATGCAGCTGTTCTAAACTGGAATTTTTCAGCATTCTTGAGAATTTTAAACAAGTGGAACACTCCACTTTATTTCTAGCATATGCTTTAGGTTCATTTCTAAGTAGTGTTTATGAAGAAAACTTAAAGCACAAACATTTCAGCATTGGATACTTGGCAAATTATCCTTGGAGAGGCAGCAGGAGGAGGGCACCTCGGTCTCTCTGAACTTAGGAGTCTGACCCCAGATCTTCCATCTGTGGTTCTTGGAGTTGAGTGATTCCCCTCTTTTAAATCTGGGCTCACCAGTTCTGAAATTCAGATCCCACACAAGCACCCTTGCCATTAGGGCACTTGGAAGCATACAGCCGCATAGGAGTTTACTGAATACAGCTTATTCTTCTGTGACGTATGGTTTCAAACATTTTTGCCAAAAGCCAAGCAGTGGTTAGCTGAAAAAGTCATACTGCCCCAGGATTATACTGAAGCAGCTATAAGCAGTAAAAATATGATGTCAGATTGAAAATCACGTTTGCATTTCTTACTGAGGACTGGTCCTGGAATGTGCCTGATAGTTTCTATATGATAGCTGTTCTGGTGGCCCAGGCATTTTGAAAACTGTTGTGTGGAGTAGAGTTCTAACCATCCCTATTAAGAATAAAAGAGAAACCTGTCCATTTCAGCATCATAAGCTATCATGGCAAAGGTAAAAAGGCCCCAGTTTTATAACCTTAAAAACAGAATTTCCAAGAGCTTGTAAGAACCCGGTGTGTTGGCCCCTCCCACTTTGTCTCTCCTTTAAAGTAGATAGAAACCCAAGAAGCAAAGAACCTGTTTTGGACAGGAGCTCCGAACCATTTCATCCCTCTGTGTTCTCATGATTTTCTCTCAGGAATCACACACTAGAACAGCACACTTTTCATTTAGCCCAACGTGTGTTACTAAAAATAGCTCAAAGTATTTACCTAAGCATAGAATTTCATCTTCTTTGTTTTAAGTAAAAAGGAAAATTTTGGAACACATGGGATATCTTAAAGAAAATTTGTACCTCTTTACTGGAGGTTTATCATTGGACTCCAGAATGCGGTACTATCCATCCCAATGAAAAAAACCTAAATAGTACCAAACGTTTTGAACTTTAAATTATGTATTAAAGTTGAGCTTTTAACTATAGCTGCTTCTCTTAAAAAGTGGTGTCTATTAAAGTCAATAATGGCAATCCTCATTCCATTATGAAAATTAAAATCATGTAAGCTTCCTAATAGCACAAACTAAATATTAAAATTCTTCTCTTCAAAGAATCACTTCTTTTAAATGACAACTGGACTGTTTTTATGATAAGTACAAGAGAGAGTGTCTCACATTTTTCAAAAGCAGGCTTTTGTTGCATAGTTCGGTCTAGGAAAGAATAACATTAAGTTAATAAGCCACTGTAATTACTTAATTATGTTGGTACAGAAACTATAGAATATTTACCTTGGAAAGAAAATGTTGAGACATTAGAAATCCTTAGGTATTGGCAGAATTCAAAAGAATGCATTTTTACATTGTGACACATAGAAACAGTGTATTTTATAAAAATAAAGATGTGGTGTGATTTCTAAACCTTTTAAAAGTTCTAAAACAGTGGACAACGGATAGAGGAAATTCAGGAGAAAAATGAAGGTATTTCAAAGAAGGATAGTTTCAAAGTTAGATATATTTTGAAGGATATATATTTATTAACAAATATATTGTAAGAATCTATATTAAAGTCACCTTGCAACTGAAATTGGTACATTCAAAAATATGTTTAATGGAAAAGCTGTTCCAAGCAGTTGCCATTTCAAAGGGTGGCCTGAGCACACTAAACCATCTGTATTCCTTTCTTATTTCATGAGAGGAAGCAGCTACATGAAGCTACACTCATTATGCAAGCCTAAGAATGTTCACTGTTAAGAGAAATAATAATGCGTTTTTAAAAGGCATATATTTCCTATGCCACCAGAATTTTTTGGAAAATTGTGAAGCCCAAATCATGTGCATTCAATACATTCAGATATTAGAAACATAGCTACATGCTCCTTCTCCACCATGGAAACACTTCTTGAGGCTACCAAAAACCTGTTGAGCAATGTAAGCCCCCAGATATTGAATAGTGGTGTTTTCCTCAAAAGCACAAGAAAATAGCATTTTCACTTATCAATGCAATTTTCAACCTAGTTGTGTTACATACCTATATCTCAAGCATTTCTAACTTGTACTTTTTCAGAAAATAAACCAACATATTCCTTTGGCCTTTTCTACCATCTGATGTTTGTATACAACAGAAATGGAAAAGGAGGAGTCTGATTTTTCAATGTTTTCCTTTTTCTCAATTAGTTTCTGTTGGTTTTAATGAAGTACGAATCAGCTTTTCAAAATGTTTTGTATTTCTTAGCATTCCCGGGGAGTTTAGATAAATGAATGAACTTCCATTGACATATTTATGTTTCCTTGATACTGGTGCTCTGGCCTTTAAGAGGAAAACAGAAGCCTCTTGAAAATTAATACAGGCTTTTTTCAAGCATCTACATAAATGTTTTTACAGTAATTTGAAGGTTATAGGGTAGGAAAGGGAGATGATTTTTCTTGCAAATGCCCGTTTTAAAATTCACTGTACTGTTTCATTCTTGTTTTATTCCATTATACTCCACAAGGTGGCACTTTTGGGGGGGAGGGGGGAGGGGAACAATCTGAGCAAGGCTAAAGAGGTACTTCTGAAGACTTGGTTCTAACTTTATTTTTCTGTATATTCTACTCTTGCTTAGCCCTTGTTTGTCAGAATGATTAATAATCTTCATAACATTCTGGAACCTCAATATTTTAGCTGTTAGCTAGGTTCTGAACAATTGTCTGCAAGTAAGTTCTTCTTGAGAGTGAAGAATACACCCATTTTGATCATTTAAGCGCATACAGAAAGCCAAGCCAAGGCATGGTATTTTTCAAGAAGCATTTTTTTTTTTGAGGTCCCTAATTACCTTACTGTTGCAGGTGCAGAAGCTACAAAGATGGACAGGCTTACTCGTTAAAAGGCAACACGCATCTGTGACTGGGATAGTTTTGTTAGGAGTGTAAAAACTCCTCCAAGTGGCCTCAGCCAAAATACCTATGCCTCTGTTTGCTCTTTTCACATTTCCTCCTATGATGGCCTTTAGACATTGATTAAAATTGTAAATCCTCATTTAAAAATCAGATGAGTAGCATAAGTAACATTGGTGTTTAAGGAGACAAAACTATTGTTTTCTGAAGAACTGCCATGCCAAAAAACAGAGCCCTTAAATTCTAAAAGACCCGGTAATATTTTTTTTTTTTTTACATCTGTGTGATCACAAGTGTAAATTCACAAGAAACTCTAATTTAAAAAAAAAAAAAAACCCTCTCCCAGCATATGAACATAATAATCCAGGAGGAGCATATTTGCATAAATCTTTAATTTCTCCACTTGGGACGTTCTTTGGCAGCTCTCTCTATCTCCATACACCTGTGTTTTAGTTCGCAGGTCTGCTCAGAGACTCACTGTCCCCCCGACCCCGAGATGATTTTAGTTAATTTCAGAAGTCCCTTTGCTAAGTGTTACAGAAACTGAGGAGGAAGGCCAGCGCAGAACTTTTCCGTTCCTTAGCTCGGCACCACCGAAGGCAGCTCACCCCTCCCGAGTGGCAGAAGCCAACGGCACCCGCTTCACTTCCCGCAGAGTAGCCGGCAGGCAAGTCTCCCCACGTCCTGCTGCTGCAGGTACCGCGCGCTCCAGGGGCGGCGGGGGCGCCCGGGGAGCCCGGCCTCGTCCCTCGGCCAAAACCGCCCCCGTAGGAGGTTCCAGCCAAGCCCCTAAATGGAAGGCCGAATTCGGACCTCGCGTTGGTTGCCCGTTGGGCCGGCCTGAAAACCTGGGGCGGGGCCGCCTGGGGCCCGCCCGCCGCCCACCTGTCCGAGGTCCCGAGCCCTGCTGCTGTCTCAGAGGCATCTGTTCCGCGCTCTTAGGAAGCCAAACGTCCCTAGAAGCAAACGGGTGTCTTCTGTGCATAAATAAGTACAACACAATTCTTTGAAAGTTCGGGTATAAAGAGATGCTGCTCTGTATGAAGCGTCTACCAGGCATCTCTCAAGCTCTAAGCTCAGCTTTTTTTTTTTTTTTTTAAAGAGAAGATGTATAATTACAGGAAAGATTTTTTATTTTTTTATTTTCTATCATTCTACATATATGATGGCAGAAGATACGTGTGGAGAAGTTTTGTTTTGAAAATTTTGAAATTTATTTTCCGCTTCGGCGAAAGCTCCTCTTTAGTTTCTAATTTCTTCCTTTTCTTTTCTTTTTTTTTTTTTTTTTCTTTGTCAAATAGTTAAAGATATGCAAGCAAATTATCTCCCGGAGTAGGAGATTTTCCTGTTTAGAGGATCTTTTGTGTGAATTGTTTCATCAAGCAAATAACCCTTTCTCTACTTTAGGAGTTTGGATTGTCAAGTATAGGTTTCCTTAATTAAGGGGGCACATAACTGTACATATTGCTATAAAGAACTATGACTGTAGCACTAATGAGCAAGCATAGAGCCACACACAGTTATTTAATTTCTAAAGCTCTGTGGTTTCTGGCCAAATTCCATTGGCATGCTTAGGTTACAGTCCTGAAGATACCCGTGGTACCCTTAACTTGAAAAATTCTAATCTTAGGTGTTTTGAAATGCAATAATATGTATTAGCTAGCAATATTGCTGTGATCACCAGCAACTCCTAATTTAACCTCGAAGTCTCTGAATAATGAAAATAGATCCCAGCAGTAATACATTTCTTGAACTGCCCCCCAACTACATTACATAGCTTCTCATTTTGGTCCTGTGTTTGCAACAGCTACACGTGAATATTACAATGCCTCACTTACTTTTGTATTCATGTGTTTTACTATGACCAGTAATAAATATATTAGTTAGTACATGGAATGAATAGCAACTACCCCTAGAGTCAGCACTTAACAAGTTGGGGAATTTCTATTTCAAGTTGTTCTACACTTGCATAAATTATTTCTATTGTTATTCATGTATGTTATTTATTTCTGAATCACACTAGTCCTGTGAAAGTACAACTGAAAGGAGATGGCATTAGGATTTGCATTTAGTGTTTATTATCATGGTCTTGATGGAGCTAAGTAAATTAAAATTAGACTAAGCCCCCAGATAAGCTGCATGCATTTTAATATGATGGGTAGAATTTAAGTCTGTAGGTGTAGTATTTTTGTGTCTAGGTGTTTTATCATTACCTAAAGGAATTAAAGCAAAGGACTTTGTAGTTCTTTTGTCAAGTATCCATATAGTATAGTGTGAAAATACAGAAAAAATTAAAACCAGATAGAAAAGCATCAGAATCTGCCTTAATTTAGGAACTCCGCCAGACGGCCACCAGAGTAGAAGCCAGGCAGAGACAGGTGCCTGGGTGGTGCCTCCTCTTTCTGGCCTTGAGAAGAAGCTTCCTTCCTGCGATCACGTGCCTTCATAGGTGTCATGTGCAGTAGTGGGAACAGGTCGTACTGTTGCAAGAACAGGGTGAGAGTTTTCTGTAGAAGCAAACTGTCAGCTTGTGCCTTGGGGCTTCCAGAATGTGTGAGATGGAGAAATTCAAGTTTCTGTGCTTCAAGCAACTGAGTTTTGTACAGAAGCAATTCAGTCTGGTAATAAAAACAAAGATTGCATGTACAGTACTCAACAATGGCTTTTAACAACCAACAGTTCCCAACACCTCAGAAGCTTGTTGCATTTCTGGTATTTTAGGTTTTGATCTGAAGGCTAATTGGCAAGTGTTTGGTATAGAAGAACAGGATGTGTTAAGAAAAGCACAATATTGGTTCCCATAGAGTGCAAATTAGAACTAGAGGGTTTTATGGGATTTTCATGTCAGAGATGTGTAAATGCATGTTCTCACTGTAGAATGTATTAGTATAGTGTTTCTGCATTCCCATAGGACTTAGTTAAAACTTTATTCCAGGTTTTCAGCAAGGCTGTCATACCCAGTAAGCTTTTTCGTTCGTTTGTTTTTGGGACTTACTCTTATAATAGAAAATGTGTTAAACGTAGAAAAAAAAATCGTAACTTGGACATTTGACTTGTTGGTTTCTGTGTTTGAAATCACGGTTCTGGAGATGTAGAGACTGTGCATGTGCATGTCAGATACTAATCTAGGCTGTGTGAACCAGCCGAGATCACCAATGTCCTCCCATCCTCTGTATCCTGTCTCCATCCAGGCCCGTCTGCGTGGTGCTCTTTATCCTCCTGGCCGCCCTTTGGCCGTTGGGGCCAGGTGAGAGAGATGCTGTAGGCATCACAGGTGTGCCTGCTCAGGCTTGGCCGCCACTTCTACTTGACCTTTGGCTGGGCACAGAGTGTGCCCGCAACACCAATCACAAATGCCCTCTAGCCTGTTCGTGTGCATCTTGATTTTAAAACCATGTCTTTCTACGGAGCATTCAATTTTCGGCTGTGGTACAAAGAGAAAAACTAAACAAGCCTAAAAACCACATTCCAGGCTGCTGTTTTCTATCCATCCACAGGCCATAGTTTTACTGTATTTCTTCATACTTGAAACTCATTCTGCTATTTTAATATCAGGGTACAGACATATAAGGGTGCATGTTCCTTAAAGGTGCAAAATTACTCTCATTCCGTTTGCTCGAATTGCTACAGAATGCTGTTTTGGTGCTTTGGGTTGAGCAGGTCAAAGAAGCAGTGTGGAAAATCACTGCCTGGAACACAGTCTTACAAGAACGTTGGCAGATGGCTTGGTAGTAGATGTTGCTTCTGCTCTTTTCTCCATACACAGCTTGAGATTACCACCCTAGCTTGTCAGGTTCATCTGAGTATCCTTTCTCACAGAGTGCCAAACCCTGTGCCCCCCCCAAAAAATGGGGGTGCAGTGCAGCTCTCTGAAAGCAGAGGCCTTCCTAAGTGCCAGATCATTTAGCCCCCAAAGAAAAATGGCCGTGGGTGTAGACAGGAGCAGAATGGGAAGGGCTCTCTCACTCTAGTGACCATCCCTCCACGCTGTACAGAAAGCTCTGTACGGGGGGAAGAAAAAGAATAAAAAAAAAAAAAAGCTTAACTGCAAAGTTACCCCCTTCATAGCACCCTGAGCTAAATGATCTTGCTTCTTTCCCTTTAGGTAGATGAAAATACAGGTCAGTTTATCTAGACTCTTCCCACCGGAAGAGGAAATTAGAAAAGTAGGTTATTTGTATCTTGTAAAATATGTAATCCAAGGACTACCAAAATTTACATTAAATCCCCCATCAGTAGCAATCTGTTTTAAAAAGTAGCTCAAGTTAAAGATGCTCTGACCTGAACTGCCCGAGGTCAGGGGCAGCCGTTCTAGCACGCTCACTCTGGGACTCCTTGGGAGAGCGACAACTACCAATGTTGACTTTGTTGCAGTGGCAAAGATAGCATGTCAGACGATTCAGAGGGTTGCAGATCACAAATCCTTTGGAAACTGGATGTCTTACTGGGTGCTAGAATGCAAATTTAGGTATTTATTGTTGGATAATGGAATTCATTGTTTTTTAAGAATTAGTGTTGAAATGTCACTGTCCAGTTCATTGTTTTCACTTATGCACAAGCTAAATTGAAGCAACATGACAATGGTTTGTATATTTGTCATACCTTTTGTATTTCTTACAATAAAAATATTGGTAGCAAATAAAAATAATAAAAACACCAATCTTGGACTGCTTTCTTGGAAATGAATCGCTATCGCTATCACAGCTGTTTTTCTTTTTACCTAATGTAAAATGAATATAATTATGGTGAGTAAAGTAACTTAGAAATAAATAGCGAGTTTTAGCAGAATACGTTTTAAACTTTTACTTTTCAGGTTTCAAATGCTTTTAAAAACTAAATAGCAGTTCATTGAGCTTAAAGCTCCAGTAACAAATGTTAAAGCTTGAAATAGTTGACTATGCTAAACTCTGACAACCCAAAACCAAGTAAGGCATGGCAGTCCTTTCCAAAGCTTGCAGATGGGGACCTGTGAAAAGGTTTGTGTAACCAACTGCAGATAACCTAGTGATGAGCAAAGGATTCACACTGGAAGGGAGGCTTGAGTGGACTCAAAACCAAAAATCAATGTCTCCCAGGCATACAAGCAGAAATACTTTGCACGTGCAAAGGCAGGCAGTTATATCAGAGCAAGCAGTACAATTGGTGAGGCCACCCCTGGGGCAGTGGCTATTAACATCCGGATCATAACCTCCAGAAAGAAATCCAGCCTTACCGAATGATCTGGTGCACACCTGCATGCGCACACCCTGATGCACACATGTATGTGCCGAGAACTGAAATTGCACAAAATGATACTGAATGCCCCACATGTCCTACACTCTTTGAATGAAAATACTGGTGGCAACCCACTAAACTGATTTCACAACCCCTCTCACTAATAGGCCGTGATTTAATGTTAGAAGAGAATTAGTAAGGGGGGGTGGGTATGTGAAGGAGTCTGGAGATAATGTTGAGAAGGGTTTAATATTTTATATAATAAAATATAAAAGAATTTGGACTACTGAAGGGTGTTAACAAGGGAGACAGTTTCTATTAATGTGTGCTCTTGTCTAACCACTTTCATACTGATCCAAAGAGCTAGATGAAGCAGCTACTGAGATACTACACAACACATCAAAAGTATTGCTATCTGAACATTCCCCTCTTTGTGTATGATATCATTTATAAGATTTATTTATTTTAGAGAGAGAGAGAGCATGTGCAAGGTGGCAGAGAGGGACAGAGGGAGAGAGAATCTCCAGCAGATTCCCCACTGAGCGCACAGCCCAACACACAGGGCTTGATCCTAGGACCCTGAGTTCATGACCTGAGCTGAAATCAAGAGTTGGTCATTTCGGGGCAGCCCGGTAGCTCAGAGGTTTAGCGCTGCCTTCAGTCCAGGGCCTGATGCTGGAGACCCAGGATCAAGTCCCACATCAGGCTCCCTGCAATGGAGCCTGCTTCTCCCTCTGCCTGTGTCTCTGCCTCTCTGTCTCTCTCTGTCTCTGTCTCTCTCTCTCTCTCTCTCTCTCTCTCTCTGTGTGTGTGTGTGTGTGTCTCTCATAAATAAATAAAATCTTAAAAAAAAAAAGTTGGTCATTTCACCTACTGAGCCACCCAGGCGCTCTGATATCAGATATTTTTTAATAAAGTAAGTCCTCCAGAATTCCCTGGGAACTCATTAGGATTCGCCTTAATTTTGTTTAACAGGCCCTAAATTGCATCTAAATTTTAAAAATTCACATGAAATATTCAAGAGGGATAATACAGAAAGTCAAGAATATGATCTTTACCAAGAAATTTAAAGTTTGTAGGCGCACCTGGCTGGCTCAGACAAAAGAGCAAGTGGATTAATAAAACTTCAAAAAAATTTGTTTAAGAAATTAAAAAGTTTATAGCTTAAGAAGTCCCTCATAACTATACATATTTGCATAAACCATGGGTATCTACAATCAGGTTTGACTGGATCATTTACTTCAAAGCAGCGTGCAGAAAGATCCTTCAATTAATCTCTAGTTATCTCTGCTTATACTCACTTAGAACTTCATTCCATTAAAAGCCCGAAGGCCTTTTGCCCTTTTAAGTGTCAGCCCAGTTTACCTGCTCCCTAGGGAACAACTCTCAAAAGGGCTGGGCCCTAGGAGGTCATATTTGTTTTCCAAAGTCCCCTTTTCTGGTTTTGACAGAAGATGCAACCATAGTACCCCATGGAATGTGGGACATGTGGAATGTGGGATGCAGAGACGACTGCATCCATCTCTTACGTGTCTGTGAGCACTACCTGTAAATCCAGAGTATGGAGAGCTGTATTTCTCCCCGTGTGCACAGAGGATCATGGGGTGCTGACCCATGGAAAGAAACGGTACTGTGCAGAGACTGAATCCAGACAACCTTCTGACTCCTCTTCCCCAGGCTCAGAAACTCCCCATATAATGAAGTCTGTCTCTAGCTTTATTTTTTTTTCCTCCATTTAACTTGGGTAGCTCAGGTAAATTTCTATCAATTGTAGCGAAGTTCTAATACAGCTCCCTGTCTCCTCTCTCAGTACTATAGCTTGAGGCCACTGCCCTGCACTGTAATTTCAAGGCTTTGAAAAGCTAAATGAAAGGTGTCCTTATTGAAGTGTGGACACAAACTGACAGTGGAGCCTGCACCTTGCGAATGGGGATTCTCAGAAACCTGGAATATACAGGGGAGAGTACAAAGCTACAGATAAAAAGATCTACTTTCCTCAAGCCTCAATTTTGCTTAAAATAAAAAAGAAAAATGTTTTTCACTAAAGAAAGACACTTTTTATTTTTTTAGATTTTATTTATTCATGAGACCCAGAGAGAGGGGGGGAGAGAGAGAGAGAGAGAAGCAGAGACACAGGCAGAGGGAGAAGCAGGCTCCATGTAGGGAACCCAACATGGGACTCGATCCCCGGTCTCCAGGATCACGCCCCGGGCCGAAGGTGGCGCTAAACCCCTGAGCCACCCAGGCTGCCCAGAAAGACACTTAAAAAAAAAAAGACATTATGGAATAAAATGCAAAATTTGAATTTTTTAAACAACATAGATGACTTCAAAGGCATTTTATGACTTCAGTAACTCCACAGGACAATTACAATTCACTCTCCCGCAGAGCATTTTCGAGAAGTACGATATCAGCATAGAGGAGACATAAGCTCTTAGAATGGGATCCATTATTCTAAATCCTGTACTTCCTGCAATCTGCAGGATTCCTCAGTGGAAAATGACTGTATTCAGAAAGCTGCTAGAGTCAAGTTTACTCATATTCACTCAACATCCACCAGCCTCAGCTTTCAAACAGTATCTGACGCAAAGAGGCAGAAGTGTCAAGAGTGATGGTTTGTGATAACAGACCCTCCCTCCTGCCTGTTGGATTTCACTGCGATACGGTGTTATTAAGCTTTAGGTCCAGCAAAAATGGCACTCTCAAGAGGAGAAGGGAGGCAATTAACGTTCAAAGAGCCATCCCCCAAGTGCCAGATATTCTGACATGCCCTACAAATACAAAATACCTTATTTCCTCAGGTCATTCTCTCCAAGTCAGAAGTAGATGGTGGTGTCAGCTGCAAACACTCCTAAAATAAGGTTGCATACAACACATAGGAAAGGAATGTGATTGGGGTGCCTGGATGGCTGTCAGTTGAGCAGCCAACTCTTGGTTTCGGCTCACATGCTCTCAGGATCATATGATTTGAGCCTGGTGGGGGGGGGGGGTTAATGTGGAGCTGTGTGCCCAGTGGGGAATCTGCTGAAGAGGCTCTCCCTCTCCCTCTGCCCCTCCCCCTGCTCATGCTCTTGCTCTATCTCTCTAAAATAAATAAATCAATCTTTAAAAAAAGAAAGAAGGGTAGCCGGGGTGGCTCAGCGGTTTAGCACCACCCTCGGCCCAGGGTGTGATCCTGGAGACCCAGGATTGAGTCCCATGTCGGGCTCCCTGCATGGAGCATGCTTCTCCCCCTGCCTGTGTCTCTGCCTCCCTCTCTCTCTCTGTGTCCCTCATGAATAAATAAATAAATAAATCTTAAAAAAAAAAGAAAGAAAGAAATATGATTATATGCTCTAGGGTCTAGAGGTACCTGAAACTGAGCAGAAGTTCAATAGTGTTGAATGAATAAGTGAATGAGTTTCCAGTGACCAGACAAATTTATATGTAACTGGTGAAATGAAATGCTAACATGCTGACCATAAAATAACTTTTAAAAATACAACAACTAAGGAAAAAATGTGTTACTTGAAATCCTACCACCTAGATAAAACTTTTTGTGTGTGTGTGAAGATTTTATTTATTTATTCATGAGAGACAGAGAGAAAGAAAGAGGCAGGGACACAGGCAGAGGGAGAAGCAGGCTCCATGCAGGGAGCCCAATGTGGGACTCGATCCCCGGTCTCCAGGATCACGCCCTGGGCTGAAAGTAGACGCTCAACCGCTGAGTCACCCAGGCATCCCAACTGCTAATATTTTGATAAATAATTCCTACATATCTAGCTTTACAAAGACACGTCAAATATATGAATATAATTGTATACCACAGAAGTAGTGGACTCTGTACTCCATTCAATAAGTTATGATTTGAAGGTTGTGTATTTGTTGCTTTACATAATATCCTGGATGATTTGTCATTTCAATAAATACAAATTTATGTTACCATGCTGTATAGTATGCCATTGTGTGAATGTACTATAATTTACTTAGCAGATGCCCTATTGAGAGACATTTCTCCCCCAGTCCACCTCATTTTTTCAGTGTATGAAAGAGCGCTTCCAGGAACAGTACTGCGAATATATCCATTTGCACATATCAGTTACATTTAAGTCATCTCAGGGTGCCTGGGTGGTTCAGTCAGTTAAGCATCTGCCTTGGGTTCAGGTCATGATCTCAGGATCCTGGGATCAAGCCTCAAGTTGGGTTCCCTGTTCAGAGGGGAGCCTGCTTCTCCCTCTCCCTCTGCCCCTTCCCCTACTTGTGTGCTTTCTCTCTCTCTCTCTTTCTCTCTCTCTCTCTCTCTCTCTCTCAAATAAAACCTTTAAAAGAAAAAGATTTAAGTCATCTCTCTGGTCCCTGGAAACTCATTCACTCATTCACTCAACATTTATTGAACCTTTATTCTGGTCCAGGCACCACTAGACTCTAGAGATGCAGCTGTGAATAAGATAAACAAGACAATTGCTCTCATGGA